CTAGAATATTTCCCAATTTTGCAATCTATGGAGAAACATCAGTAAAAATACTAACTTGGAAACTGTCATGAAAACCATATACTGAGAACAAATGAGAACAGTGACCTAAACTTTATTCCAAGATTCTCTTAAACCAAGTTGTACCATAAGTGAATCAATAGATGCTAATCCTAGTTAGACTGCATTTAGAACAGATAAGCAGAAATTATAATTTTATAATTAGTTATAATTCTCTCCAATTTAATATTATGAAACAGCTTTGCAAATAATTTAACACTTGTTAGTGAATACAAATATCAGCCCAAATCTTCACTACCTTCTTTTTTTTTATGCTCTATCCATTTATAACCAATGCATAAATATATTTGATTGTCTCTGAAGTAAAGCACTGATGTACTTGATGATGCATTTTCAGGTTTGATAAATATTCTCAACTTGCATTAATGATGTCAAGTTATAAAAAAAAGGTTCAGCTCTTATGTCACATTCTGACTAAGATTCAATGTTTATTTGCAAAAAAAAATAAGAATTAAAAATTTTATGTCTAAAAGTGACATCTTGGATTAATTATCAGGAAAGGGTATTCACAAATTCCCTTAGCAGTTACCTTAATTTTCAAATCAATTATAGAAGAAAAATGACAGAAATGTCCCCATTAAATACCAATGTTAAGGGGCGCCTGGGTGGCTCAGTTGGTTAAGTGTCGGCCTTTGGCTCAGGTCGTGATCCCGGGGTCCTGGGATCGAGCCCCACATTGGGCTCCCTGCTCAGCGTGGAGCCTGCTTCTCCATCTGCCTCTCCCCACCCCCACTCATTCTCTCGCTCTCTCTCTCATAAATAAATAAAATCCTTAAAAAGATAAAAAAAAATACCAATGTTAAAGAATGGCCATCAATCTTCTGTTTTAGATATACTTATGTGTCTGTAGTGAAATCCCCTAGGAGAAGCAATGGCAAAACAAATTTGCAGCAGAAATAGCAACTTTCTTATTCTTATTTACTTAAAGATTTTATTTATTTATTTTAAAGAGAGAGAGAGAGCTAGAGAGAGAGAAGGAGCAGGGGAAAAGGGAGAAGCAGGCTTCCCGCCAAGCAGGGAGCCTGATGTGGGGCTCCATCTCAGGACTCCGGGATCATGACTCGAGCCGAAGGCAGATGCTTAACTGATTGAGCCACCCAGGCGCCCCTCTTACTTTTTTTAAAAAAAGATTTTATTTATTTATTTATTTGACACAGAGAGAGAGCATGTGAGCATGGGGAGGAGCAGAGGGAGAGGGACGAGCAGAACCTGATGGGACGCTTGATCTCACGAGTCTAAGATCATGATCTGAGCCGAAAGTAAGAGACCCTCAACGGACTGAGCCACCCAGGTGCCCCTTATTCCTACTCTCTTATTAAATTAATGGGGACAATACCAAGTTAGTGGTCCTACTCTTCTGACTACACACATTATTTAAGGTAGGGAGTATAGCTATTATTAACATGATTTAACACATGAAATCAAGGTGAAGAGAATCTAAAAATTTTTGAAAGGATATGTCTAGAAGTGAAAAAACTAAAATCCATATTTATCATCCATTAGCGTAGGGCTTTTCCCACTCTAGTCCTTTGCTTCTCCTCACCTGTACTCCTCACCGGGAGCTTCCTATATCTCATGACCTCTTACTGAGGCATTATGGAATTGCTTCTCACTTCTGTTTTTCATTATAGACTTCATGGCAGGTTTTGGATTTCTTTAATGGCTTTCAAGATCAAAGTAAGAACCCTTTTAAGTCCTTGGATTGAATTTTTTAAAAAAGATTTAATTTATTTATTTGAGAAAGAGAATGAGAGAGAGAGAGAGAGCATGAGAGGGGGGAGGGCCAGAGGGAGTAGCAGACTCCCTGCTGAGCAGGGTGCCTGATGCAGGACTCGATCCTGGGATTCCAGGATCATGACCTGGCCCGAAGGCAGCCGCTTAACCAACTGAGCCACCCAGGTGCCCTGGATTGAATGTTTTAATTTGCTGACCTCAAATTAAAGGAAGAAGAGGAAAATATTTCTTAAGGAATATTTGTTTTAGAGATAAAGGAATAGCTCTTGTAAAGCAGTTTTTTGAATTACAGTGAAAAAGAATCAAAATTTTAAGTTTCTGCTGAAGCATGTAAAGTTTAACTGCTTTAAGAGTATGACTGACACACGATAAATTGCACATATTTCAAGAGCATGTTTTGGTAAATTTTCACGTATGTATTCAACTATGAAACCATCACCACAATCATGATAATAAACATATCCATCACTACCCCTCCTCTTGCCTCTTGGTAATTCCTCCCTCCTGACTGCCTGTCTTCCCTGACTCCCACACTCTATGCCAGCCCCCAGGCAAATACCAATCTGCTTTCTGTCACTGGTGATCAGTCTGTATTTTCTAGAATTTTAGAGAATAGAAGCAAACAATATTTCCTCTTGTCTGGCTCTTCTTGTTCCACACAATTTTGAGATTCATCTACATTGCATGTGTAGCAGTAGTTCATCCCTTTTTCATTGCTGAGTAGTAGTCCATCATATGGACGTGCCACAGTTTGTTTATCCAGTTCATCTGTTGATCAGCATTGGAGTTGCTTTCAGTTTTTGGCTATTATAAATAAAGCTGCTAGGGACCTTCATGTATAAGTCTTTGTATGAACATACGCTTTCTTTTTAAAAAATATTTTATTTATTTATTTGAGAGAAAGAGAGAGAGAGTGCACGAACGGTAGGGGAGGGGCAGAGGGAGAGGGAGAAGCAGGCTTCCCGCCAAGCAGGGAGCCCAATGTGGGGCTCAATCCCAGGACTCTGGGATCATAACCTGAGCCAAAGGCAGACGCTTAACGACTGAGCCACCCAGGCACCCCTGAACATATGCTTTCATTTCTCTTAGGTAAATACCTAATAGTAGACTGATGGTATATATTTATCTTTTTAGGAAACTGCCAAAATGTTCTTCAAAGTGGCTGTACCATTTTACATTCCCATCAGCGATGTATGAGAGCTGTTGCTCCACGTCCTCATCAATCCTTGGTATGGTCAGTCTTTTTAAGACACTGTAATAGGTATGTAGTGGTATTCGTTGTTTTAACCTGCATCCCAATGATGCTGAGTATCTCTTCATGTGCTTGTTTGCTATCCATGTATCATTTTAGTGAAGCATCTGTTAAAATCTTTTTGCCCACTTTTTAAAAAAGATTGTATTTATTTTGAGAGACTACGTGCACATGACTGGGGGAGGGGCAGAGGCAGCAGGAGAGAGAGAATCTGAAGCCAACTCCAAGGTGAGCACGGATCTCACGACCCTGAGATCATTACCAGAACCAAAATCAAGAGTCAGACGCTTGAGCTGCTGAGCCATCCAGGTGCACCTTTTGCCCACTTTTTAAATTGGGTATTTTCTTATTACAAAGTTTTGAGGGTGCTTTACATATTCTAGATTCAATTTCTCTATCAATTCTGTGATTTTTCAAATGTTTTCTCCCAGTTTGTGGCTTGTCTTTTCATTAAGAGCTCAAATTTTAAAGTTTAAAAAAATATCCCAAAATAGAAAAGTTTTAGAAGACAGTGTTTTAGAGTCAAATCACTGAAAAAGTCTAAAACATTTTCATGAAAGCATACCAAAAAAGTACTTTTTAGTATGTAAAGTAATATTTAAGTAATAATTTAAAGGATGGGGTGGTGGCAACATTTCCCTTTGGTAAAGGAAGATATTACAAAATAACCTTGAATGTGGCTACTTGACTAATATTAATGAAAGCTTTCCTTTAATGTCGTGTCTTTCCCTTGATGTCTCAGAGATGCTGTAATGCTTCAGAGCCAAATGCTAGGAAATCTGAACCCACTCCAAGTCTCCACCAAAAGAAAGCAGATTTGAATGAAGGGAGAGAAACTGAACATTAGTAAAGTGACTTTCTATGCCCTTGGCTTAAAATGGCAGGAAGTAGGGGCACCTGGGTGGCTCACTCTGTTAAGCGTCTGCCTTCGGCTCAGGTCATGATCCCAGGGTCCTGGGATCGAGCCCCGAGTTGCGTCCGGCTCTCTGCTCAGAGGGGAGTCTGCTTGTCTTCCTCTCCCTCTGTTGCTCTCCCTGCTTGTGCATACCCTCTGTCAAATAAAGTTTAAAAAAAATATGGCAAGAGATATAAGTCAAACAGATGACAGAACTCCCATTCACCAGACAGTTCACAGAGAAAAGCCTTCCCTGGGCTCTATTGCACCTGGCCCTAGATTTCTGGATCCATAGATACTATGCCTTGGGCCACTGCCCCCCGACCTCCTATTTGGTCAGTAATTCTTGTGGTTTCCCTTTTAGGCCTTTCACATGACATTCCGGCATGGTTTTGGCCCTGTTTAGTTTTAGTCCTTTGATTTTGGCATCCTCTGTTGACCCCAGTGAGGATCTCAGGTCTCATTGGGAAACTCCTCCCCTGCTCCCACCCCTCTAGCCTCCTCAGTCAGTCGCCATAACTAAGTGAAGGTAGAAGAGAAATCAGATTTGGGGACAAGCTAAATTGAAGAAAAAGAATCTTTACATGAGTATCAGGCCCAGGAATATGTACTGTACAAATTTAAAACACTTTGGCTTGGAAAGCAGTTTGGAATCTGCACGTAGTGGATATTATTTATTCTATCACAATTCCTATTCCTTGAAAATATAATGCATGTGTTAAAACCTGTGTTAAATGACAATTGTTAAACTGTGCATATAATAAAATCTACAGGTGAGACTGTCCCACAGATACGATGGTAAAAGCAATATACTGAAAAATGTTCCATCTTACTGCAAGTATAAATTGAAAGGCCAATTGTTTAGAAAAATTTCAAGTGATAATATTTATTACTGGAAGATTTTGGTGAAATAGTACCACAAACACACCGATATCTGCAAGGTAAAGTTTAAGTCTTTTGAAAATTCATTTGATAGTGTACATAAAGATCCACATGCTTATTTATAGTTTTATTTATTTATTTTTATTTTTATTTTTATTTTTTAAAGATTTTATTTATTTATTCATGAGAGACAGAGAGAGAGAGGCAGAGGGAGAAGCAGGCTCCCAAGGAGCAGGGAGCCCGATGCGGGACTCGATCCCAGGACGCTGGGATCATGACCTGAGCCGAAGGCAGACGCTTAACCATCTGAGCCACCCAGGCGCCCCTATAGTTTTATTTTTTTAAATGCATTTTTTTTAAAGGTTTTTATTTATTTGTCAGAGAGAGAGAGCACAGCAGGGGGAGCAGCAGTGGGAGAGGGAGAAGCAGGCTCCTCACTGAGCAAGGAGCCCGATGTGGGACTCGACCCCAGGAGCCTGGGATCATGAGCTGAGCCGAAGGCAGACGCTTAACGACTGAGCCACCTAGGCATCCCTTATTTATAGCTTTAAAAGCAGTAATCCCACTTTGATAATTTATTCTAAGGAAGTAACTCACAAAGGAAAAACCTCTCCAGATAAAAGTAAAAAGAACCCAAATATCCAACAAGGGGAATGGCTAAAAAATTATTTTATTTTCACTCTATGGAATATTATGCAGTCATTGAAAATTATATACAATCTATATTCAATCTCTAAGGACAGCATAGTAACATGTAAAAATGTGTGATATGTTAACTGAAACAAAATTCAACAGTTTACATACAGTATGATTTCAACTCTGTAAAAGTGTGTGGACAAAGACTGGATGTATCTGAAATGTTCTAGTGTGAGCTATGATTTATTCACATGTTAAAATACTACACAGGAGTGAAAAAGAGTAAGTTATAGTTACACCTATCACAAAAAAGAATCTTGCAGTTATAAGATTGAGGGCGGGAAACTTAGAAAAGGATATATAAGATGCAAGAGAGAAGATAGGTAAAACAATATGCACGTTGTTTAAAGATAAATATATAAGCAGGAAATATAGACATTCATGGTAAAGGTAAACACTAAATTCAGGATCATGGTTACCACTGGGTGGAGGGGAGGAAAATGCAACTGGAGAGGGACACAGAGAGCTTCAACTACATTCACATTTCATTTCTTTACCTGGGCTGTAGGTACATGGCTATTTATTATATTAGTTTTTACACGGTTTGGTGTGAAATATTTAAAATAAGTACTTTTTAAGATAGCGTCAAAGCCCTTACATAAGGTCCAACAAGACTTCCTCACCCCAGGGTGCTTGAGGGCTGACTGAAGGTGCAGTGGCATGCTCCCCCATCTCCCCAGCACCCCCTTTCCTGTGGTGTCTGCCCACATGCAGCACAGAGGCAGATCCACAGCCGGGGTGATGGGCCTTGACAATCATCTTGAAGAAGCAGGCTTCAAGGGTAGGTCTGAGTAAGGCAGAGGAACAGTTCCCATGTCTGGCCCTGTCCACTTGACCAGAGTAGAGGAAGAAGTCCTCTTGGAGAGCTGCTTCCTACGCTGTGTGGACGAAGCACTGAGAAGTGGAGTGAGAGGTGGAGAAGTCAGCTGGCTGCCGGGGCTGGATGAGGGGCCCTCAGTCCAGGTGTCAGTGTTCAGTCATGAGGTCCTCCAGCAGAAGATTTCCTAAGTTGGGTCCCCGCTATGGCCCCCAATGTTCTAGATTTATGGACGTAGTTCCAAGTTAATAATGTATTAACTGCCCTAATATATTATGAGGCACTGAAATCCAGATCGCTGAAAAAAAATAAGGTCAACACATTTTGTATTAGTTTTTTATTGCTGCTGTAAGAAATAACCACAAACTTAGTGGCTTACAACAACATAAATTTATTATCTTACAGTTCTGTAGGTTAGAAGTCTGACAGGGGTCTCCTCATTTGGCTAAAGTTAAGTGTCAGCAGGGCTGTGTTCCTTTCTGAAGGCTTTAGGGGAGATTTTCCAGCTTCTGACGGCTGCCCACCTTCCTTGGCTTGTGGTCCCCTTCCCTCATCCTCAAAGCCAGCAATGTTGTGTCTCTTACATTCTTCAGTCGTATCTCTCTCTGACATGGCTGGATGCAGGAGATTAGATTGGGCCCATCCTGATAATTCAGGATAATCTATCTCCATATCTCAAGGTACTTGATATAATCATATCTGCAAAGTCCCTTTTGCCATAAGTGCCTAGATTTCTTATTTTATCAAGGGATGCAAAGTCCCCGTTGTCATGTCCCAGGACTAGGATATGAAGATCTTTGGGAGGCTATTACTGTACCTACCACACACCTCTCTAGTAGGATCACTGAGGCCTTCTATAATGAGGGGTACAAGTGTCCTGGGAATACAGTCAAGCTATTTGGCTCTATCTAGTTCATAATTCCAGGTTTCCTAAGAAAAAAAATTTTTTTTTTTGCTTCCATTAATACTTTTTCCTCATATGGGGTTGTCTTACACTCTGCTACTGTCAACTTAGAGAGAAAGTGTGTCAAGGTAGAAATAACATTTCACCAGGACAGTAGAGGTATCCATCATTGTTATGAACGGCCTAGGAGACTGGGACATCTGAAGGCTGGCTGATTGACTGATTGATTGATTGACCTCCCAATTCTTTACACAAAGGTGATTAAATACATAGAGTAAAATATAAATTAAGTACAATTCAACCACAATGTACTGAACAAGTGAAGGACAATCTGCATCTATGAAGACGGTGAAGGCCTGACTGTAGTGCCATGTGTTTGGTACTGAGCTTCCCGGTAGCTAAAACAAAACTGCAATCTGGCCAGTTACATGATTTTCATTATTCATGTGATAAAAACACACCTGTTTCTAAAGACAAGTTTTTCCTAGTAGGTCTGAGGCCTCAAAGGAAGTTCTCATCCCCGTGGCACTAAGTGAGACAACAATCTCTCTGTAACAAACGGAGAAAGAGGTTTCCTAGGATTGCTGAGGGCATAACACCAACCTCAGCTTCATAAAAGCAATTCTGTGAAGGCCAAGCCAGCATGTTCCACACAGCAGCTTTCTGAGAATAATCATGACTCAGGTCGTGACTCCTTATTAAGCAGTGAAATGAATTTATGACCAACACAAAAACAAGGAATAGAACAGAAGAATAAAAAACCAGCGGTTCTTCTGTGTGGGGGGACATGTGTATCTGACCAAGAAGTGAGCTGTGTTTTCTACTGTGCATCACTCCAAGAACCAGGAGACGGCTGCACAGATAATCCATCAGGGACGAAGAGCCCTTAAACAAGCTCCGAGTTGGTCAGCGAATAGGCTGATGTTAGATCCCACAGCAAGGGTCTGTAGTGCAAACATTGCTTCTTATACCAGCGTCAGAATAGGATTTAGGAAAATCGAAGCCAGGAAGGTGAGGAATAGGGTGTGGTAGGCACAGTAATGGCCGCCCCAAAATCTCCACACCCTAGTCCTGGGACATGACAATGGGGACTTTGCATCCCTCCATAACGTAAGTGCCCAGGGTGCTTGAGAGAGCAAGGAAACATGGTAAGGTTGACATCTCCTTGGGGAAACTGAGGAGCAAGCATTGTACCTGACTGGACAGCCATCCCATCTGTGTGACTAGAGTTCTAGTCGGCCCACAATCTTCCTCAGGAGGAGGCTGTTCAGTGGCAGAGAGACCCCCTAACTAGAAAGTTTTCTCAAGGGAATACTGTGTCCAAATCCAGGAACTGGTGGGTATGTTTATAGTTCAGAGGAACCATAATACACTGGGTTGTGATCGTTTTCTTTTGGCTCACTTAGAACATTCTTCCTAGAGTCGTAACTTTCTGTCTTGCATCATATTTGTTTCCTTATTCTATGATTATAGGAGATGAATATGAATATGAAAATAATCTGCTACCTTCTGAGTATTTCCTTGACTAGAAATAAACATCTAACTTTAAAGACTACCAAAATAATAAATTAAATAAATGTTTTACATAATAGAGTACTATAGTAAAGTATATGTGTGTGTATATATATACATATATACATAGTAAAGTATGTATATATATATATATATATATATATAGTAAAGTATAGTGAAGTATATGGTATGTTTTAGGATAGTATTTCAGTTTTTTTATAACTATTATATAATAACAGTTAAAGGATATCTTCTATATTACTGATTTAAAAATATTTTATTTTTATTTTTTAAGGATTTTATTTATTTATTTGATAGAGCAAGAGTATAAGCAGGGGGAGCTATAGAGGGAAAGGGAGAAGCAGGCTCCCTGCTGAGTGGGGGGAGCCCGACTTGGGGCTCAATCCCAGGACCCTGGGATCATGACCTGAGCTGAAGGCAGACGCTTAACTGACTGAGCCACCCAGATGCCCCTAAATATATTTTATTTTTATAAAAAGATTCCTATTTTACTGAAGATGGGCTCTAGGAGGACCTTGAGGAATCATTACTATTAGCCTAACCTGAACCCTAAACCCCAGCACTGTTAACTAGACTCTTGTCTGTTCCCTCTGATCAAATCCCTGACTTGGGTGTACCTTATCAAAGGCTTCTAGGATCATGACACATTTTGCACTTGACAGTTAAATACCCACAGTGCTAGAGCCTGGCAGTAGGCAAAGCTGGGGTCAAGGACCCTGTCTCAAGCTGGAGGAGGTCAGGAAGTGAAAGGAGCAACAGGAAGTTCAGAAGTGTGATGAACCAAAAGCAAGGGGTCAGAAGGGCCACAAGAGAAGCACATGACAAAGCAGTAGAGGACATATGAGCCATCAAACTTAGCCACAGCAGACCATGTCTTGCTGGCCTAGAGTTCCTTAGAGAATGAGAAGTGAGCCTTCTGGAACATGCTTCTGCATTTCAGAAACAAAGAGCACAACCAAAACTCTTTATTTCAGAAAATTTCAAACACATACAAAAGTAGAGCGAGGAGTATAATGAACCTCTGTGTGCCCATCACTTAACTTCAACAATCATCAATATTTTTCCATCAGTTTTTCATCCATCTCCAACCTCCCGCCTCCCCAACTCTGCCATCTTTTCATTTCCCTGGAGTATTTAAAAGCAAACCTACCCACTCTATGGGAGAAGATATTTGCAAATGTCTTATCAGATAAAGGGCTGGTATCCAAAATCTATAAAGAACTTACCAAACTTAACACCCAAAGAACAAATAGCCCATTCAAGAAATGGGCAGAAGATATGAACAGACATTTCTCCAAAGAAGACATACAAATGGCCAACAGACAAATGAAAAACATGCTCCGCATCACTGGGCATCAGGGAAATACAAATCAAAACCACAATGAGATACCACCTCACACTCATCAGAATGGCTAAAATTAACAAGTCAGGAAACAACAGATGTTGGTGAGGATGCAGAGAAAGGGGAACCCTCCTACACTGTTGGTGTGAATGCAAGCTGGTGCAGCCACTCTGGAAAACAGTATGGAGGTTCCTCAAAAAGTTGAAAATAGAGCTACCCTATGACTCAGCAATTGCACTACTGGGTATTTACCCCAAAGATATGAATGTAGTGATCTGAAGGGGCATGTGCACCCCAATGTTTATAGCAGCAATGTCCACAATAGCCAAACTATGGAAAGAGCCCAGATGTCCATTGACAGATGAATGGATAAAGAAGAGGTGGTATATATATATAATGGAATATTATGCAGCCATAAAAAATGAAATCTTGCCATTTGCAACAATGTGGATGGAACTAGGGAGTATTGTGCTAAGCAAAATAAGTCAGTCAGAGAAAGACAATTATCATATGGTTTCACTGATACATGGAATTTAATAAACAAGGCAGAGGATCGTAGGGGAAGAGAGGGAAAAATAAAACAAGGTGAAATCAGAGAGGGAGACAAACCATAAGAGACTCTTTTTTTTTTTTTTTAAAGATTTTATTTATTTATTCATGAGAGACAGAGAGAGAGAGAGAGGCAGAGGGCGAAGCAGGCTCCCAAGGAGCAGGGAGCCCGATGCGGGACTCGATCCCAGGACCCTGAGATCATGACCTCAGCCGAAGGCAGACGCTTAACCATCTGAGCCACCCAGGCGCCCCATAAGAGACTCTTAATCATAGGTGATGTATATTAAGGAGGGCACGTGATGTAATGAGCACTGGGTATTATAATACCCAGTGATATATAAGAATGATGAATCACTGAACTCTACCTCTGAAACTAATAATACATTATATGTTAATTAACTGAATTTAAATTAAGAGAAAAAAATAAAGCAAACCTACCCATTCTATTAATTCACTCATAAATACTTTTCAATATGTAATAGATAAGGGCTTTTAAAAGCACAATGATATCCAGGTGCCTGACTGGCTCAGTCAGAAGAGCATGTGACTCTTGATCTCAGGGGTTTTAGGTTTGAGCCTCGCATTGGGTGTAGAGATTACTTAAATAAAACTTAAAAAAATAAAAATAAATAAAAACAATGATATCGATGGTATTAAAATTAACAATAACTTAATATTATCTAATACCCAGACTATGTTCCTTTTTCTGCTACTATCTCACAAATACCTTTTTAGAGTAGGTTTGTTCAAATCAGGACCACACAGGTGTCACAAACTGCATTTCGTTGATTTGTTCCTTGTCTCCACTGTCCTTTAGGCTATACTAGTTATCCCTTTCCTCTCCCTCCCTTTTCTTGCGCCATGTGTTTACTGATGAGAATCTTCCACACTCTGGATTTGTTATCATGGTGTCATCTAATATGTCTCTTTATCTACAGTCACGGTAGTTTGGTCTTGAAGCCTGCTTTCGGATCCGGTTGTTTTGGTGAGAAGACTTCATAGATCTTCTGTGTGTGTCCTCCTGCATCACATCAGGGGGCACAGGTGTGCATGTCTCATCTTTAGCGGCTTGAGATTGATTAGCAGGCTCAGGTGCTTGTCAGTTTGACCCATTCATTAAAAGCTCCCCCTCAGGAGCGCCCGGGTGGCTCAGTCGGTTAAGCGTCCGACTCTTGATTTCGGCTCAGTTCATGATCTCAGGGTGGTGAGACTGAGCCCCACATCGAGCTCCGCATCAGGCTCTGTGCTGGGTGTGGAGCCTGCTTGGAATTCTCTCTCTCCCTTTCCTTCTGTTTCCACCACCCCTCCAAACACACACCAATTCTTTCTCTCTCTCTCAAAAAAAAGCTCCCCCTCAGTCTTAAATGTGAGGTTTTAGCAGCCATTATAACTGCTCCCAAAAGATGGCTCTTCTCTTCTGCTTTTAGTAGCTTACCTTTTCAGTGACGAGCTCTGCCTCCCTCATCAGTTATTTGGTTTCTCTGAGAGACAGTTTGTACAAGTAGACTGCAGCCCATTTTAGAAATGACATAGTGTGTCTGACATGCTTCTAGTTGTGTCCTCTTTCTCACTGAAGCTTCCCACCGCTGGGAAGACGAAGGTCCACTCACGTTATCTTTTACGCCCGAAGCACAGAAACTACTAATGAACGACAGAATGGACTGAGGGCTCTCCTCTCATCTCCCTATGCTCAGATTTTACTCGTTTTCAAAGTCCAGCTGCCAATCCCTTCACGAGGTGTCCCATGACTCCCCCACTTGGACAGTATCTGCTTGTCTTCTGAGCTTATCATTCAACAAACATCGCCTCTGTTAGACACTGGTCACTGTATCACTTTCTAAGGAACTTCCCCTTTAACCCTTGTGAACAGTTATTTATGTATTTTATCTTCCTTTCTAGGTTTCTTAGAAGCAGAGATAATGTTTGATTTGGCTTTCTGCCTCCATAATGACTAGCATTTTTAGCCTTTTGTGAGATGTCAATGGTTACTTATTAAAATTTAAAAAATAATGAATTACAAGAAACTTGTGAGCCCTCACCATGTTGGACTTTTTCTTCTCTCTCAAAGCTGAATGGTTATGCTATGAATTTATTGCAGAATGCCAATTTTTTTAAAAGATTTTATTTATTTATTTGACAGAGAGACACAGCGAGAGAGGGAACACAAGCAGGGGGAGTGGGAGAGGGAGAAGCAGGCTTTCCGCGGAGCAGGGAGCCCGATGTGGGGCTCGATCCCAGGACCCTGAGATCAGGCAGACGCTTAACGACTGAGGCAGACGCTTAACGACTGAGCCACTCAGACGCCGCAGGATGCCAATTTTTAATAATTTAGAAATATGATAGACTTCTCTAATTAACTACTATTAAAAACTAAATTACATTAATTAATCACCTTTTCTTATAGTGGGATCCAGTTGGATTGTAACTCTGTAACTACCTAGATACCAAGATCACATTTTCACTTTCTTATAACATATTTTTCCTGTTTTATCTGCCTTTATTTTTTCCCAGCTTTATTAAGATATAACTGACATATAACACTGTGTAAGTTTAAGCTGTCCAGCATGCTGATTTGATACACTTCTGAACTGCAAAATGATCACCACCACAGCATTAGCTAACATCTCCATTAAGTCACATAATGACCATCTCTTTTCTGTGGTGATGCTTTCATCTGTAGATGGCATCTAAAGTGAACTATTTCCCAAAGTACTCCTTAATCATAGTTGTTGTAAACAGCTATTGATACATTGATATTAAGAATGGTGGTAGCAGAGTGCCTGGCTGGCTCAGTCGGAAGAGCATGCAATTCTTGATCCCAGGACTGTGAGATCGAGCCCCATGAAGGGTGTAGAGATTACTAAAAAAAAAAATTAATTAAACTTAAAATAAAAAGAATGGTGGTAGCATATGCAAAAATATAAACGTGTTTCAATCACTGTGAAAAATAGCACCCATTTTTTGATTTCTGCATTTTGAAAGAAATAAATCTGATTAGTCTAAATAGGTAGGACAATATGTAAAATTTCAAAACCTGAAAATGCAAACTTAAATTCCATACTTTTATGGTTGAATAATACTGCCACAGTGCCAGTGTGTGACCATTTTAATGAACAAATTTTTTGAAGGTTGATAGTTTCTAAAACTTGTTAATAAAATGGCACTATGTATAAAAATGCTAGCAAAGCAACAAAGGTCTTTCATACCAAGAAATCAAGCTCTTCGTTCAGATTGTGGTCCTTATTCAGTTTGACTCCCAATAAGACAGGCACATCTCTAATATTCTTGGCTTCATCTGAATCCAAACTTGTAACCTGAGATTAAATATATTTGTGCTCACTTCCAATACTTTCACATTCCTTGGGAGATCTGACAATAAATACTTTATAAGTTTAACAGTCAAAGAGCTCTTCAGTGGCTAGAATAATAGAAGTGTAGAACTTGGAGCTAGAAGGATTTCAACAAATAAGCCAAAAGAAATTGTATTTTTGCATGTTAAAGACAGTACACGGTAAATGTTAAACTCACCTTGATAACCTGATCTTGAAATGCTTTTTCTTTTGCAATTAACTCTCTAAAAGCTGTGATTCTGTCTTTATGTTCCAGGAACTGAGGAAAAAAAGAGTTTTATATTTCAGAAAAGGAGAAGAGATAAAAGTACATTCAATAACATTTATAGTAAGATCATCGAATCATGCACTGTCTAGTCTCTGGTCTCCAAAGATCTACTGTTTTTACAGCTCTTGTACAGAAGGGAGTTTAGATGGCAGATCTGAGAGTCCTCAGGAAGGCCTGCTCATCATGCTGCCCCCTGACTAGCATCTGGGAATGTGGATGCAGGAGGAGTTCCATCATTTTGTACTCTGAATGGCTCGTTGTGCCTAACCTTTTGTACAGAGAGTGTCGTTCATACTGAACGCCTCTTTCCTTCCGGAGGGTCCAGAGTTTTAGTACGTGCTAGGGTGACATCCCTATGTGAGCAGCCCGCAATAAAAACCCTGGTGCTGGGTCCCTAATGAGACCCTGGAAAAATTTCACACATATTGTCACAGCTCATTGCTGGGAAAATGAAGTGCATCTTGTGTGACTCCACTATGAAGGGGCTCTTGGCAGCTTGAATCTGATTTCCTCTGGACTATGCCCCAAGCCCCTTTTCCCTATGCTGACTTTGCCCCGTGGCTTCTCACGATGACACCGAGTTGCGACTCTGGCCGTACGTGCAGCCCCACGGGTGCTAGCAGATCATGGAACCTGAGTGCAGGCTTGGGATCTCCGGGAGCTTACCCCAATATTCAGTTGTTTTTACAGTTAGGCTCTCAGAATTCTTATTTAAAGAAGAAAAAAAAACCTACCAACTTTTCCTAGATGTAATTTATAATCACTTCTTATTTGTTCATTTGTTCCTTCATGAAAATAACAATAAATTTTAATATTCAATATTCAAATTTCTCCAAAAAGCAGTGAGGTAAAGTGTGATGCACAGAATTATTTTTATTATGAACTATTTCCAATATTTATTTATTTATTTATTTATTTTTAAGATTTTATTTATTTGAGAAAGAGAGAGAGAGAGATTGAGAGAACAAGTGGAGGAGGGGCAGAGGGAGAAGCAGACTCCCTGAAGAGCGGGGAGCCCGATGCGGGACTCGATCCCAGGACCCTGAGATCATGACCTGAGCCAAAGGCAGATGCTTAACCAACTGAGCCACCCAGGCACCCGGCCAATATTTATTTTTTAAAAGATTTATTTATTTATTTGAGAGAGAGAGAGAGAGAGGGAGAAGCAAACTCCCCACTGAGTGTGGAGCCCTACGCAGGGCTTGGGGCTCGATCTCACGACGCTCAGATCACGACCTGAACTGAAATCAAGAGTTGGACGTTAAACTGACTGAGCCATCCAGGCATGCCAACAATTTCTAATATTTAAAAAAATAGAGACAAAAACTGAACGAACCTCCATGTAATTATCACCCAGCTTCGACTATTGATGGCTACTGGCCAGTTTTGTATCATTTATACCCCCAACCATGTCCTCCTCCCTCCAATCCCCCTTCACAGAGTCAAATTAGACACCACATCATATCACCTGCCAGTATTTCAAACAACAACACAAATATCTGAAATTTTATTTCTATAACATCATGCTCCAACCCTCAATGGGGCTTATTTTTGAAGGCTGGTTTAAGAAATGGAGGACAGTAGTTTCTCTGTGTATCTGTTATTCCTTGATCAGGTTAACTAGGAGACAAAGAGATTCCCTGGACTACCTGCAACAAATATTCTATCCACCTCAGTTCAGAGAAGTAATTTCCTCATAACATAGGACTGAATTTGTTTCTACGATCCAAGATCCCATATCTGAATACATTTTTATTCCATTAGCTGATAAACTTGCCACTTCTGTATTCCTCTCACATTAAAACTGGCACAAATTAACAACCTGGTATCACCTTTTATTTTAGAGAAAGAGAGAGAGAATGAGCAGGAGGGGCAGAGAGAGAGGAAGAGAGAATCTCAAGCAAACTCCGAGCTGAACAAGAAGCCTGATGCGGGTCTCAATTTCATGACCCTGAGATCATGACCTGAGTGGAAACCAAGAGTCAGGTGCTTAACCAACTGCACCACCCAAGTGCCCCGCCAAAAACAATTCTTCAAAAAAATCCAAATTTGGAGAATTTCTTTATACTTTTATGTCACCTTTTTCTTTGATTATTTTTTTCACCAAAAATGATACAATTTTTAGAATAAAGAAAAAATACAGTACCTCTTTATCTAAATCTTTCTTTTTAAGATGGAAATGCTTCAATTTTTGTAGCATTGTATCACTAACTTTTTCACTCTTTTTGAAATGTTCAATAACGGGAGTAGTGATGTCCTAAGAGTAACAGTTTGAGAAGCTATAGTAAAAAGTTTTCAGTAAAGCTAAAGGGAGGACAGAAAACAAAAAGTTTTCAGTAAAGCTAAAGAGAGGACAGAAAACAAAAAACCAAAAAAGATAAAATATTGAACTCAATTCTTCAATTACTCATAAGACATCCAATAAATAGTGTGGAAAGAATTCTTATAGATTCACACTTGTATATAAGTTGTTATTGGGACAGATTAGTATGATCTCTGGTAAGTTAATATTCATCTATAATAACAATACATACTTACACATTCACACCTACACCCTCTCTTAGCCTAGCCTGGTCAGTTTACAAATCCAAACTTCAGCCAAATTTCTATATCTGACACCAGAGTAATCAGACATCCTCAACAACACTGAAACTCTAGATAACTCAAGGGTGCCCAGAATGAAGGTATTTGTATGCATAACTTCAGGGTCAAAAATGTGTGCATGAGATATGATACTTTATGTGGAAAACCCCAAAGACTCCACCCCAAAACTGCTAGAACTCATACAGGAATTCAGTAAAGTGGCAGGATATAAAATCAATGCACAGAAGTCAGTGGCATTCCTATACACCAACAACAAGACAGAAGAAAGAGAAATTAAGGAGTCGATCCCATTTACAATTGCACCCAAAACCATAAGATACCTAGGAATAAATCTAACCAAAGAGGCAAAGGATCTGTAGTCAGAAAACTATAAAATACTCATGAAAGAAATTGAGGAAGACACAAAGAAATGGAAAAAACGTTCTATGCTCATGGATTGGAAGAACAAATATTGCGAAGATGTCAATGCTACCTAGAGCAATCTACACATTCAATGCAATCCCCATCAAAAGACCATCCACTTTTTTCAAAGAAATGGAACAAATCATCCTAAAATTTGTATGGAACCAGAAAAGACCCCGAATAGCCAGAGGAATGTTGAAAAAGAAAAGCAAAGCGGGCGGCAACACAATTCCGGACTTCAAGCTCTATTACAAAGCTGTCATCATCAAGACAGTACGGTATTGGCACAAAAACAGACACATAGATCAATGGAACAGAATAGAGAGCCCAGAAATGGACCCTCAACTCTATGGTCAACTCATCTTTGACAAAGCAGGAAAGAATGTCCAATGGAAAAAAGAGTCTCTTCAACAAATGGTGTTGGGAAAATTGGATAGCCACATGCAGAAGAATGAAACTGGACCATTTCCTTACACCACACACAAAAATAGACTCCAAATGGTTGAAAGGCCTCAATATGAGACAGGAGTCCATCAAAATCCTAAAGGAGAACACAGGCAGCAACCTCTTCGACCTCAGCTGCAGCAACTTCTTCCTAGAAACATCACCAAAGGCGAGGGAAGCAAGGGCAAAAATGAACTATTGGGACTTCATCAAGATAAAAAGCTTTTGCGCAGCAAAGGAAACAGTCAACAAAACCAGAAGACAACCGACAGAATGGGAGAAGATATTTGCAAATGGCAAATCAGATAAAGGGCTAGTATCCAAAATCTACACCAACACCCAAAGAACAAATGATCCAATCAAGAAATGGGCAGAAGATATGAACAGACATTTTTCCAAAGAAGACATCTAAATGGCCAACAGACACATGAAAAAGTGCTCAATATCACTCAGCATCAGGGAAATCCAAATCAACCTCAATGAGATAGCACCTCACACCAGTCAGAATGGCTAAAATTAACAAGTCAGGAAATGACAGATATTGGCGGGGATGCGGAGAAAGGGGAACCCTCCTACACTGTTGGTGGGAATGCAAGCTGGTGCAGCCACTGTGGAAAACAGTATGGAGGTTCCTCAAAAAGTTGAAAATAGAGCTACCATATGATCCAGCAATTGCACTACTGGGTATTTACCCCAAAGATACAAATGTAGGGATCCGAAGGGGTACGTGCACCCCGATGTTTATAGCAGCAATGTTCACAATAGCCAAACTGTGGAAAGAGCCAAGATGTCCATTGACAGATGAATGGATAAAGAAGAGGTGGTATATATATACAATGGAATATTATGCAGCCATCAAAAGGAATGAGATCTTGCCATTTGCAACGACATGGATGGAACTGGAGGGTATTATGCTGAGCAAACTAAGTCAAACAGAGAAAGACATGTATCATATGATCTCACTGATATGAGGAATTCTTAATCTCAGGAAACAAACTGAGGGTTCCTGGAGTGGGGGGTGGGGTGGGAGGGATGGGGTGACTGGGTGATAGACACTGGGGAGGGTATGTGCTCTGGTAAGCGCTGTGAATTGTGCAAGACTGTTGAATCTCAGATCTGTACCTCTGAAACAAATAATGCAATATATGTTAAGAAAAAAAAAAGAAGAAGATAGCAGGAGGGGAAGAATGAAGGGAGGGAATCGGAGGGGGAGACGAACCATGAGAGATGATGGACTCTGAAAAACAAACTGAGGGTTCTAGAGGGGAGGGGGGTGGGAGGATGGGTTAGCCTGGTGATGGGTATTGAGGAGGGCACGTTCTGCATGGAGCACTGGGTGTTATGCACAAACAATGAATCATGGAACACTACATCTAAAACTAATGATGTAATGTATGGGGATTAACATAACAATAAAAAAATTAAAAAAAAAATGTGTGCATGAGTTGTACTGCCTAAGGTTGTATCCGAGTTCTGCCGTTTCACCCTACATGAGACTTTGGACAAGAAACCTGACTGTTCTAAGCCTCTGTTTTTCCATGATTTTATTTTATTATTATTTTATTATTTTATTTATTTTTTATTTTATTTTATTTTATTATTTTAATTTAATTTAATTTAATTTAATTTAATTATTTTATTTTATTTTTTATTTTATTATTTTAGTTTCAGTTTTTCCATTAAAAAAAAAAAAAGCCTGATAATATAAAGAATGGTATAAGGACTGGATGAGATAACCCATGAGAAGCAGGGAGAGTAGACTTAAAAGACTTCAAGGAAAGGTTGGGAAGTCAACAAACATTTGCTGAGTGCCGATTAAGGGATTAACCCGTATTAGGTACAGGGCATACAACGTTCCAAGTCTCTGATGTTGAAGACTTCCATTCTAGCGGGGGTGGGAGGCACAGAGCAAGCGAACATATTTGTTTGGTGTGGGATGACATCCACCGACCAGAGGGCTGAGGACACATTTCCTCCTTGGGAGCGGTGGTAGAGAAGCAGCAGGCTGCAATTAAGGCAGAAAGAAGAGCAGCCTCCGGTGACATAGGTGGGAGTGAGGAGCCAAGGCTTATGGTGAGTAAGCAAATGTTTGAAGGAACAAAGTGGGATGGGAAAGTTTGTAGCTAAGAAGAGTCTGTGCCACATTCAGATTCACATGTGTAAAAACAAAACTTCAGGTGGATATAGTCTGTGGGCCACCACTTTGTGATCTTCTGCATAAAATGATCAGCTCAGTTTCTAGCACTAAATAAATGCTAGTATTCAACAAACTTTAGCTAACCACAATAGAAATAAGCATTGTGTTGGATCAGGAACATCACAGGCCATGCCCCCCAATTTTGGCTCAGATGATTGCACTTAAGATCAAAGAAATGGGGCACTTGGGTGGCTCAGTCAGTTAAGCGTCTGCCTTTGGCTCAGGTCATGATCCCTGGGTCCTGGGATTGAGTCCCGTATCGGGCTCCCTGCTCACCAGGGAGTCTGCTTCTCCCTCTCCCTGTGCCCCTCCCCCTTGCTCATACTCTCTCTTGCTCACTCTCTCTCTGAAATAAATTAAAAAAAAAGATCAGAGAAATGGACATTAATAGAAGAGTAAGAAAGACAACTAGCTCATTTGAAAAGCTAGCAAATGCCATGCCCTGTAACATGGTCTCTCGTTAAATACAGTGCTTGTTACCTCCCAGGGAAGTGGCAAGTATCATTTCCCCTACTTAGGAAGAGGAAGCTAAGGCTAATAAAGGTAAAGTCACTTGGCCAAGTCACACAGCCAGGGAGGTGATGAAGTCAGGATTTGAACTCACCTGACAACAACTTCGTTCTTCATTCCACCAATGTACACAACTCCCTACTGCCCTCCCTCTGACCAAAGCTAAATTTTAGATTGGGTAAACAGTTCGCTTATGGGAATACTTACCAATCACTAGGCGCAGACTGAGCCAGAAAACAAGACTACTGCTCTGATAGAGCTTCCAGGACATGTAAAAAGTACTAAATGAAGGGTTTTCCATTTTTTTCTCCCATAACTAAACTCTGTGGCTTTAGATTGCTCTTTGGTTTAGTCCAACCTCGATGTTTCTTCCTCCCCCAATAAAAAATACAGATTTTTTTTTTTTTTTAATTACCTGGGGTTTGAGAAGCCCTACCATCAGAGTCAGAAGACTGTGAATTCTGGAGACGGGCTGAGAAGTTCTTTTCACATCTGGGGGACTCAGGCTCTCTTCTTCACCAGGTGAACAATTCATGAACAAATTGGAATGCATGGTCTTTGCATCCTATGTGTACACAATTCAGACATGTCAGGATAAAGACAAAGAGTCTGGATTGTTCTTTTTTTTTTTTTTAAGATTTTATTTATTTGACAGAGAGAGACACAGAGAGAGAAGGAACACAAGCAGGGGGAGTGGGAGAGGGAGAGGCTTCTGGCAGAGCAGGGAGCCTGATGGGCTCGATCCCAGGACCCTGGGATCATGACCTGAGCCAAAGGCAGACGCTTAACGAGTAAGCCACCCAGGCGCCCCTGGGTTGTTCTTTAAGTAAAATGCGAATTAAATACCACTCTTAAAAACTCTGAGCAAGGGTGCTAAATGAGAAAAATATGTAGCCAAGAATACTTGATCCAGAAAAAATTCAAAATAGAAGGAGTGATAAAAAGCTTCCAGGACAAACGGAAACTAAAAGAATTTGTGATCACCAAACCAGCCCTACGAAAAATATTAAAAGGGGTCCTCTAACCGAAGAGAGAGCCCAAAAGTAACATAGGCCAGAAAGGAACAGAGACTATATACAGTAACAGTCACTTTACAGGCAATGCAATGGCACTAAATTCATATCTTTCAATAGTTACTCTGAATGTAAATGGGCTAAATGCCCCAATCAAAAGACACAGGGTACCAGATTGGATAAAAAAGCAAGACCCATTGATATGCTGTCTGCAAGAGACTCATTTTAGACCCAAAGACACCTCCAGATTGAAAGTGAGGGGGTGGGGCGCCTGGGTGGCTCAGTTGGTTAAGCGACTGCCTTCGGCTCAGGTCATGATCCTGGAGTCCCAGGATCGAGTCCCGCATCAGGCTCCCTGCTCGGCAGGGAGTCTGCTTCTCCCTCTGGCCCTCCTCCCTCTCATGCTCTCTGTCTCTCATTCTCTCTCTCGCAAATAAATAAAATCTTAAAAAAAAAAAAAAAAAAAAAAACTTCATCCCATTTAAAAAAAAAAAAGTGAGGGGGTGGACAACCATTTATCGTGTTAATGGACATCAAAAGAAAGCTGGGGTGGCAATCCTTATATCAGACAAATTAGATTTTAAGCCAAAGACTGTAATAAGAGATGAGGAAGGACACCGTATCATAAAGCATCTTTCCAACAAGAAGATCTAACAATTGTAAATATTTATGCCCCTAACATGGAGCAGCCAATTATATAAACCAATTAATAATAAAATCAAAGAAACATATTGATAATAATACAATAATAGTAGGGGACTTTAACACCCCTCTCACTGCAATGGACAGATCATCTAAGCAGAAGGTCAACAAGGAAATAAGGGCTTTGAATGATACACTGGACCAGATGGACTTCACAGATATATTCAGAACATTCCATCCCAAAGCAACAGAATACACATTCTTCTCAAGTGCACATGGAACATTCTCCAGAATATATCACATCCTGGGTCACAAATCAGGTCTCAACTGGTACCAAAAGATTGGGATCATTCCCTGTATATTTTCAGACCACAGTGCTTTGAAACTGGAACTCAGTCACAAGAGGAAATTTGGAAAGAATACAAAGACATGGAGGCTAAAGAGCTACTAAAGAATGAATGGGTAAACCAGGAAATTAAAGAAGAATTTTAAAAATCCACAGAAACAAATGAAAATGAAAACACAACTGTTCAAAATCTCTGGGATGCAGCAAAGGCAGTCCTGAGAAGGAAGTATATAGCATAACAATTCTTTCTCAAGAAACAAGAAAGTTCTCAAATATACAACCTTACCTAACATCTAAAGGAGCTGGAGAAAGAATAGCAAATAAAGCCTAAACCCAGCAGGAGAAGAGAAATAATAAAGATCAGAGCAGAAATCAATGAAACAGAAACCAAAAGAACAGTAGAACAGATCAATGAAATTAGGAGTTGGTTCTTTGAAAGAATTAATTGATAAACCCCTGGCCAGACTTATCAAAAAGAAAAGAGAAAAGACCCAAATAAAATCATGAATAAAAGAGAAGAGATCACAACCAACACTGAAGAAATACAAACAATTATAAGAACGTATTATGAGCAACTATATGCCAACAATTAGGCAATATGGAAGAAATGGATGCATTCCGAGAGAAGTACAAACTACCAAAACTGAACCAGGAAGAAATAGAAAACCTGAACAGACCTATAACCAGCAAGGAAATTGAAGCAGTAATTAAAAATCTCCCAAAAAAACAAGAGCCCAGGGCCAGATGGCTTCCCAGGGGAATTCTACCAAACATTTAAAGAAGAATTAATACCAATTCTTCTGAAGCTGTTTCAAAAAATTGAAATGGAAGGAAAGCTTCAAAACTTGTTCTATGAGGCCAGCATTACCTTGATCCCAAAACCAAATAAAGACCCCACCAAAAAGGAGAATTACACACCAATATCCCTGATGAACATGAATGCAAAAATTCTCACCAAAATACTAGCCAATAGGATCCAACAGTACATTGAAAGGATTATTCACCACGACCAAGTAGGATTTATGCCTGGGCTACAAGGTTGGTTCAACATCCGCAAATCAATCAATGTGATACAATACATTAAGAAAAGAAAGAACAAGAACCATATGATCCTCTCAATAGATGCAGAAAAAGCATTTGACAAAGTACAGCATCCTTTCTTGATGAAAACTCTTCATAGTGTAGGGATAGAGGGAATGTACCTCAATATCACAAAAGCCATCTATGAAAAACCCACAGTGAATATCATTCTCAATGGGGAAAAACTAAGAGCTTTTCCCTTGAGGTCAGGAACATGGCAGGGATGTCCACTATCAACACTGCTATTCAACATAGTACTAGAAGTACTAGCCTTAGCAATCAGACAACAAAAAGAAATAAAAGGCATCCAAATCGGCAAAGAAGAAGTCAAACTCTCACTCTTTGCAGATGATATGACACTTTATGCGGAAAACCCAAAAGACTCCACCCCGAATATACAGGGATTCAGTAAAGTGGCAGGATATAAAATCAATGCACAGAAATCAGTTGCATTTCTATACACCAACAACAAGACAGAAGAAAGAGAAATTAAGGAGTCGATCCCATTTACAATTGTACCCAAAACCATAAGATCCCTAGGAATAACTCTAACCAAAGAGATAAGAAACCTGTACTCAGAAAACTATAGAATACTCATGAAAGAAACTGAGGAAGACACAAAGAAATGGAAAAATGTTCCATGCTCATGGATTGGAAGAACAAATATTGTTAAAATATCTATGCTACCTAGAGCAATCTACACATTCAATGCAATCCCTATCAAAATACCATCAATGTTTTTCAAAGAACTGGAACAAATAATCCAAAATTTGTATGGAACCAGAAAAGACCCTGAATAGCCAAAGGAATGTTGAAAAAGGAAACCAAAGCTGGTGGCATCACAATTCTGGACTTCTAGCTCTGTTATAAAGATGTCATCATCAAGATAGTATGGTACTGTCACAAAAACAGACACAGAGATCAGTGGAACAGAACAGAGAACTCAGAAATGGACCCTCAACTCTATGGCCAACTAATCTTTGACAAAGCAGGAAAGAATATCCAATGGAGAAAAGACAGTCTCTTCAACAAATGGTGTTAAGAAAATTGGACAGCCATATGCAGAAGAATGAAACTGGACCATTTCCTTACACCACACACAAAAATAGACTCAAAATGGATGAAAGACCTAAATGTGACAGGAATCCATCAAAATCCTTGAGGAGAACACAGGCAGCAACCTCTTCAACCTCAGCCATAGCAACTTCTTCCTAAACACATCACCAAAGGCAAGGGAAGCAAGGGCAAAAATGAACTATTGGGACTTCACCAAAATAAACAACTTTTGCACAGCAAAGAAAATAGTCAACAAAACCAAAAGACAACTGACAGAATGGGAGAAGACGTTTGCAAATGACCTATCAGATAAAGGGGTCGTATCCAAAATCTATAAAGAACTTCTCAAACTTAACACCCAAAGAACAAATAATCCAATCAAGAAATGGGCCAAAGAGATGAATAGACATTTCTGCAAAGAAGACATACAAATGGGCAATAGACACATGAAAAAGTCCTCAACATTACCTGGCATCAGGGAAATCCAAATCAAAACCTCAATGAGATACCACCTCACACCCATCAGAATGGCTAACATTAACAAGTTAGGAAATGACAGATGTTGGCAAGGATGCGGAGTAAGGGGAACCTGCCTACACTGTCGGTGGGAATGCAAGCTGGTGTAGCCACTCTGGAAAACAGTATGGAGGTTCCTCAAAAAGTTGAAAATAGAGCTACCCTGCGACTCAGCAATTGCACTACTGGATATTTACCCGAAATATAAATATGTAGTGAACCGAAGGGGTACCTGCACCCCAATGTTTATGGCAGCCATATGCACAATAGCCAAACTATGGAAAGAGCCCAGATGTCCATTGACAGATGAATGGATAAAGAAGATGTAGTATATATATACAATGGAATATTACTCTGCCATCAAAAAATGAAATCTTGCCATTTGCAACAATGTGGATGGAACTAGGGGGTATTGTGCTAAGCAAAATAAGTCAATCAGAGAAAGACAATTATCATATGGTTTCATTGATATATGGAATTTAAGAAACAAGACACAGGATCATAGGGGAAGAGAGGAAAAAATGAAACAAGACAAAATCAGAGAGGGAGACTCTTAATCTTGGGAAACAAACAGAGGGTTGCTGGAGGGGAGGGGGGTGAATGGACGGGGTAACTGGGTGATGGACATTGGGAGGGTATGTGTTGTAATGAGCACTGGGTATTATGTAAGACTAATGAAGCACAGACCTGTACCCCTGAAACAAATAATACATTATATGTTAATTAATTGAATTTAAATTTTAAAAACACAAGAAAAAAGGGGAAAAAAACCCAAAAACCTCTGTGAAGCCCTAAAAACATGGCACTCAAATTTGAAGAGCTAAATGTTAATATTTATTAAAAAAACAACAACAACTCTGAACTGTGGTTCTCAAACTTTGGATTCTCAGGACCCCTTTATAGACTCAAAAATTATTGAGAATCCTAAAAGGCTTTTTTTTATGTGGGTTCTATCTACAACTACTTATTGTATTAGAAATTACGACTGAGAACATTTAAAAATTATTTGCTTACTAATCCGTTCAAATAACAATAAATCCCTTGTGTCAATATAAATAACAATTTTAATATGAAATTACCACATTTTCCAAAGGAAAAAATTAGTGAAAAGAGTGGCACTGTTTACATTTTTGTAAATATCTGCAATGCTGACTTCATAGAAGACAGCAGAATTCTCACATCTGCTTCATACATTGGTCAGACATAAAAGCAATGAATGACACACAGTTTCTAGAATACTCCACAGGAAGCACTTGTGAAAAAAATGAGAGTGGCAAGGTCATAACATCTTCCTATTCCCATGAAAATACCTTGACTTCATAGACCCACCAGACCACACTTTTGAGAAAATATACGTAGAATTCATGAAAAGCAAAACTAAAAGCAGAGTAAGGATGATTTGGGGGATATTAAAGAAATTGATTCGTCAAGATAAAACAAAGAACTTTACTTTACTCTTTATTTTTTTAAAGAAAGCTCAAGAAAAAAATAATGTACTGTGATAAACTTCTATACAGTTGTACTAATTCATTCAGAGTTTACCAATACAAAATTTGTCATGATTTGGCTAGCAGCTATTTTGGAAGACAAAATACAGACCCTTAAGTTGACTTAATGTCATCTCTGCTTAGGTTAGCGGTTCTCAAAAGTGTGACCCTCAGCCCAGGGCATTGGGGAGACTCAGAATCTTGTTAGAAGTGCGCACTCTTGAGGAGCACTAGTTTAGATAATCCTGATTTCTTTCTGGAGGAAAGATTGCAGAGATAATTTTTTAAACATAAGAGAACAATATTTTCCTGAGAATCATTAAAAAATAATATAACTATTTACTTGCAAACAATACTTGTACTAATTACGGATTCCTGAAAAAAAGTCCTCTAAGGACATCCTCAAGGGAACACAATCAGCTCAAGTTATAAGAGTTTTAAAATAAAAATACATTTTCCTAGCTCAGATTAGCCTTCTTTCTAAGTAGTCAGAATTAAAAAGGTTATACTATAAATATTTTAAGACAGGCCTACAAAACTGAAATAGATATGCTCTGGCTTGTGAAAAGGATCACTTCCAGGTTGTCTGCCAAGAAAGCCATTTGCACTGCAGAGAATACATATTACAGCCTCTCCAAACCTATTGATATGAGGCTCTCATGTTGTTTTTAACAGATGTTAACTGGACTTATTGTGGTGATCATTTTGCAACATATACAAATATCAAATCATGCTACACACCTGAAACTATGTTATATGTCAATTACAGCTCAATCACAAAGTTTATAATGTCACAAAATGAATATGTGATATAACATAGGTTTGACCGTGTAAACCAAATATGAAATTGCATTATTTAGTTTCATTGTTAGGCAGATGTGGCATGAAAACATTGAGATCCCCACCTAAAAGATCCTTTCGCAAGTGGTGCTTCAGATGATTGATCAGAGGTACCCAGAAAATTCCCACGTTAATTTTCACCTCTACCAAAATAGTCACAAGAAGCCAGAAATGGCCCTTCTTTAACCTGAGTACCCGAGAACCGGAGAAACTTCTCCAAACCTGTGGTACATTTTCCATTCTCTTTCTTTTCGTTAATAATTCTTTCTGCCAACAAATATGAGTGCGGTGTCTAAATGTGCATCAGCAGACTGTTAGCAATGCATGAAATTCTGCGTTCAAGATTCCGAATTTGTGCCGATACCTTTTTGATATCCGCCGTTACCACTTCCCTGGCGTGCTCCATTAACCAAGGCGTCTCAAACTGAGGGGGGGCATCATTTTGCTCCTGGCTCCTCGCCACCTGCTGCCGAAGCCTTTCGTTTTCCTGTTTGACTTCCGTGACCTGCTGCTGGAGTTGGGTGTTCTCTGCCTTTTCGGTATCAGATATGAGCTGCAAATGAGTAACTTGAATGATCAGCTTCTTGAGTGTCAATTTCAGTTTCTGTCTTTCTTCCAGGTTTTTCTTCTTGTGCTTCTGAAATTCCTCATGTAAAGACAGGAACTCTTGTTTTCGGGCCTTTTTCTCCCTTTTCAGCAGATCCAGAGCGGAGGTGGTGGCCTTTTCCAGCTCCCCCTTGAGTTGCTGCAGCTTCTCCACCTCTTTTTCTTTCTCGCTTAGGGTTCTGTCCATCTCTAGGCACTGACTGACAGTTTTAGCTTTCTGTTGCATTTCAGTCATGTACCTTTCCTGTAGGTGAACGTAATTGCCCTTGATCTTCTTGAGCTCCAGCTGTAAGGTTTCCTTTTCATTCCTAGCTTCCTGAAGATGCTTTTGGGTGTGAGTTAAGACCTCGTGCAAATTCTGCAGCGTCCTGTCAGTGTCACTCTTCTCTAGCATCACTCTGTATTTGTCTTCAATTAATTCTTCCATCTTGGCCTTCAGCTTATTTATGATGTCCATGAACACCTGCTGTTTGGTAGTCTGCTTCTGTAGTTCTTCAGTCTTCTTCTCTAAATACTTGTTGCTACTCTGCAGGTCTTGGATCCGAGTCTGCTGCTGTTTGTTAGTGTGCTGTAATTTCTGTAAGACTTCATTTAAAGCCATGTCCTCTTCCAGAGGCTGTGAGCTTTCCAAGCTCTGCTTTGGGTTGGGCATCTTGCTGTCCTCTGGAGATGCTCCACCACTCCAAGAAATGCCTGCAGGAGACCAAGGTGAGGCCGTCCCTGGCCTGTCCACGTCCCGCACGGTGACCTCCTTATGGTGACAGACTGGCATCTCAGGAACATCCCGAAAGCTCTGTATCCCTTTTGAAGACACTGCGATCTGTAAATTAGAGTACATAAGTGTGAAAAAGAGTATAAAGATGGTGAGTTTTGAAATCATATATAGCTGGCCTTAAATCCTAGATCTCTAGTTTGCTTTCCTCAGCTATAAAAGAGCAATGATAATGTCTGCTTCCAATAATAATACTTACTTGACAAACATACTTAAGTAGTAACTGCTAAATGTATATATGGCACCCAATAGCACAGCAGAGCAATAGATACATGATAGAGGTATGGATCACATTTACTTTTTCAGAAGAAAAACTCAGCTTTGATACTCTCACCAACTTTCTATGATACGAAATTTTCTGAACACCTGTGAGGTACTTTGACTTCAAATGAATTAAAACAAATTTATCAGTTACCCTAGAGTCTGTGAGGCCTCTTTCGAATGAAGACTTTTATTGCTCATTAAATCATTATCTCATGGCTATGACTCCTGTGAATGTAAGAATGTCAGATGAACATGCCTTGTGATTGATTTTCTCCCACAATACAGGTTTTGGGGGCTTTTTAAAAGAATAATAAGTTGTAGTAAGAAAATGCTCAAATGAATATGATATTTAAAACTCTGTAAAAGGGGGTGCCTGGGTGGCTCAGTCGGTTAAGCATCTGCCTTCGGCTCGGGTCATGATCCCAGGGTCCTGGGATCGAGTCCTGCATCAGGCTCCCTGCTCAGCGGGGAGCCTGCTTCTCCCTCTCCCTCTGCTGCTCCCCCTGCTTGTGCTCTCTCTCTCTCTCCCTCTCTCTGTCAAATAAATAAATAAATAAATAAATAAATAAATAAATAAATAAATAAATAAAATCTTAAAAAATAGAAAACCCCATAAAAGACAACTGCAGGGGTGGGCTGTATAACTTTCTAGAATTTAGAGATACTAGACCCCTATATTTTAACAGTTTACCATTGTTCTGGGATAAAGACAACTATCCCTACCAAGGCCTACAAGATTCCAATGTCTGGTCTTGATGCCTGACCCACGCTACCTGTCCATCCTCATCTACTACCTGCCACCTTTGATCCAAAAACATTGGGCTCCCGCCAGGTCCTAGTGGGTGCCATGCTCCCTGAAGCCACAGGGTCCTTGCACATGTTACTTCTGCATGGAATGCTAATCCCACCCACAGTTAACTTAATTAACTCCTAACTCATCCTTCAGAGCTCAGCTCAATTACCACTACTTCAGGAACAGTAAGATTCCTGTCATTTTATTCACAACAATTATCATACTTGCAGTTTATAGTTTATATGTAATATTACACAACATACACTTTACATGCACTTTATATAACTCTTCATAGCACTTACCATAGTTGCAAGTTTACATTTACTTGTGTGATTATTTAATGTGAATTTCCTCTACTAATGTGTTATTTTATGAGGACAAAACCTGCATTTTTTTAAACCATTATATAACCAACACATAGTACAAGGCCTAGCACATAATAGATTGCTGAAAATATTCATCGGCTGAATAAATGACTAAATGCAATGGAAATAGGAAGGAGCAATCTTGAGAAACACTAATTAAACAAGTTTTTTAAATGTCATTTTGCAGAATCAACATAGGAAAATAAAGTTCTCTTTTACATACTGCTTCCAAATAAATGAACAAAAAAACTGCTCATTTTGTAAATGAAACATAATAGTCATAGATTTTTTTCATCAGACTTACAATAAAAAAGTACTATTTGTGCTATTCCTGGATTATTATCTATTTGCCCATACCAATTCTTAAAATTGTTAGTTTATAAAAATTTTCAGAGAGTACATAGGATTTATACTATTGGCATCTTCAGTGTTCTTAGGATACTACATGTGTGCCCAGAAAGAATAAGTCAAAAGACAAATTAATATTTTCACTTTGGTAGAAAAATTAATATTTTGTGCTTGTCAATAGTAATCCCTCGCCAGAAAAATTTTAAGATTTTCTTGTCAAATGACCTAATGTCTCTCTCCTTCTTCTTCTTAACCTTTTCCTTACTGTAAACTGAGTTCCAGCCAATTTGATTCACCAAACGTAATTCATTATATTCAAGGCACTAGGTAGATGCTAAGATACATAAAAGGATGAGCAAGACAGAGCCCTGATCCTCAAAGAAATTATCATTCGGGAGAGCTAATCTTCACATATGGACTTGATTTTATTAGAAAGAATTTGTTTCTAAATTGATTAAGCTCTCAGAAGGCATTTTCCCCAGAGAAGCAATTTCCTTCGTGCTGATTAGATTATCTAGCAGTACTTGGAAATGTCTCAGATTTTATATATATAAAACATATATATATATAAATATATATAAATATATATATTTTTGGAAAGCACATATAACACTCTACAAATTATACTGACCATCAAAAATCTTACCTCCTCTGTTTTATCATTGGCTCTCAGATCAAAGAGGTTAAAGCTATTCTCTTTGTAAAATGGTTTTTCAACATCTCTGTGTACCTTTTCCTTATACAAGAAGCTTTGAGTTTGACTAGGTTTGAGCGCAGACTCCACGGAAGCACTTTTAGGCAGTGACATTTCCATGAATTTCAGTGTCTCTCCACTGCTGTGCACTAGAGGTGGGCTTCTAGAACATTGTGTGACACACTCATGAGCAAGTTGGTCTTCATTTGCGGACATGCCAGTTCCCACTGGATCTTCTTCCTTAAATGAATCTTCCTTCATATTGGTGTCTTTTGCATAATTATACACATGACTTTGCATTTCTGGTTTCTCCGTGTAAGGTGAGCTTTCTGTCAGATTTTGAAATGTTATCATTTCATTATTAAATGCTTCTCTCAGATGAAATTTGCAAATGGGTTCAAATTGCCTCAAGGGGGAAATGCTGGTGTCAACTGGCTGAGTTAGTAAGTCCTGTGAATCATTTCCAATGCTGACATCTCATTAGAAAAAGAAAGATGGAAATAAGAATTAGCTGACCATAAACTTGTATGTTAACAGTTATATTTACATTTATGAAACTGCTGGAGTCTATTTAAATTATATTAATTACAGCATTTTTTATTGAGTGGATTTCAGCATGACTGTGCTAGCAAACAAAACAGAACCACTTTTAGGGGCGCCTGGGTGGCTCAGTCGTTAAGCGTCTGCCTTCGGCTCAGGTCATGATCCCAGGTCCTGGGATCGAGCCCCGCATTGGGCTCCCTGCTCAGCGGGAAGCCTGCTTCTCCCTCTCCCACTCCCCCTGCTTGTGTTCCCTCTCTCTCTGTCTATCTCTGTCATATAAATAAATAAAATCTTTAAAACAAAACAAAACAAAACCCAAAACAGAACCACTTTTACACAGGGGCCGGAAGTTCTCACATGACTGCTACAAAAAAGCTTGTTATAGTAATTCTGGTCAAATACCATTGCAACCAATCCTAAGATATCTTCAAAACTCCTTTGTCATACTGTAATTTTAAAATGTTTTCAATATGTTTCCAAAGACTACAAAAGCACAACAGAATAATACTAAACACATAGAAACTTGTTTCATCTCACAATCTCATGAGCTAGGCATTGTTATCATCCCTGTTGTACAGATAAGGAAATGGAGACATAAGAGATATTAAGTCGTTTACTTGCCTAAGGTCACAGAGTGGGTACGCAGTGCAGCTGCAGTTCTGGAATACTGTTTCTTTTCTTTTTATTTTCTTAAATTTAAATTCAAGTTAGTTAACATATAGTGTAGTATTAGTTTCAGGGATAGATGTAGTGATTCATCACTTACACACAACACCCAATGCTCATCCCAACAAGTACCTTTCTTAATACCCATCACCCATTTAGCCCATCCCCCCCACCTCCCCTCCAGCAACCCTCAGTTTGTTCCCCTAACTATAGAGTCTCTTACGGTTTGCCTCCCTCTCTGTTTTTATCTTATTTTTCTTTCCCTTCTCCTATGTTCATCTGTTTTGTTTCTTCAATTCTACATATGAGTGAAATCATATATTTGTCTTTCTCTGACTAACTTAATTCACTTAGCATAATACCCTCTAGCTCCATCCACATTATTGCAAATGGCAAGATTTCATTCTTTTTGATGGCAGAGTAACATTCCAGTGTATATATACACATCTTCTTTATCCATTCATCTGTCAATGGACATCTAGGCTCTTTCCATAATTTTGCTATTGTGGACATTGCTGCTATAAACACTGGGGTGCATGTGCCCCTTCGAATCAGTACTTTTGTATCCTTTGGATAAATACCTAGAAGTGCAATTGCTGGGTCATAGGGTAGTTCTATTTTTAACTTTTTGAGGACCCTCCATACAGTTTTCCAGAGTGGCTGCACCAGCTTGCATTCCCATCAACAGTGCAAGAGGGTTTCCCTTTCTCTGCATCCTCGCCAACACCTGTTGTTTCCTGTCTTGTTGATTTTAGCCATCTAGAATACTATTTCTAAATGCTATGCTATACTGTTTCTCAACATGACAAATGATCCAGACCTAAAACGTTTTTAAAAATCAGAAGCAAATAAAGTAAAGTGGAAAGAAAGAAAGTGTTACAAAATTAATGATGCCTCCCTTCTATCTCAATTCCCTCCTTTCCCCCTTCCCAGAGATAACTACTGATGAACTGAAGCTGGTATGTATTCATTCTTCCCATCCATATTTTCCTACTTTTACTACTCATTTATGTACCTTAAATAATAGATATCAACTTCCCAGAATTTCTCATTTTGTGACATCTTACTGTCTCAGTAATTACACACAGCACCAAAAGACCAAGAGAAATACCTAACAGTTCCATTTATTAAATAGGTTCAAATAAAGTATTTGCCCTAACTTAGTAGATGTTCAAAAATATACATAAACTGAAAGAAAAACATAATGTTTTATATCATTCTTATGCAACCAAACTTACTATTTGGATGCACTATTGGGTACCACATGTTTCAAATCTTGGAATCAGATAGGATGACATCAACCCTCACTTTCTACTCCACATTGCTTTTCATACAATACTTGCTTTTTATCATAGCAACCTCCAAAAACCCAGCTTTGCAAATATTTTATAGAAAGGGTTATAGTATGGTTTTACATTGAAATAGTGAACTATCTCAAGTTACTGGTTTGTGGGGTCCAGAAGACGTCAAGTATCACTGTTTCCTAAATATTTCAAAAGATCCTGCAGCACCCTGGGTGAACTGTGGAGATATAGTATTATTTTCTGTGTTTTTAAGTTTTATGTAATTAGAATCAAATTATATTTGTAACCTATATATCACATATAAAAATATAAATGTATATCCACATGAAAGTCTTTATTTCACTTAAAATTTTGCTTTTCAGATTTAGCCATGTAAATACATGTAGATCTAGTTAATTTTACTGAAGGATTACACTTTCTTTCCTTTTTGTTAGATATTTGTTTCTAATTTTGCTATTAAAAACAACTCTTCAGTGAACATCCTTATACATGTTTCAATGTACACTAAGAATTTTTGTTTAGGTTCTGGGTATATACCTCAAAGTGGAATTGCTGGATTATAGAAAATATGTATTTTCAACTTCACTAGACATTGCAAAATTACTCTCCAAAGTGGTTGCACCAGTTTATACTTCCACCAATAGCAAAAAAGTTTCTTTGCTCTGCTACATCCTTCCAGGCAAGTTAAACTGATACATATGAAATGGAATTTTGTGGTCTTTTTAATAATCTTGCAGGTTTCTGTGATCTGCCTATTAGATACTGTTATGGCCTGCATTGTATCTCCTCAAAATTCCTGTGTTGAAGGCTTACCCCCCAGTACCTTAGGATGTAACTATATTGGGAGATGGGGCCTTTAAAGAGGTAATTAAAGTTAAATGAAGTCATAAAACTGGGGCCCTAATCCAATATAACTGGTGTTCTTATAGGAAGAAAAGACACCAGGGAGGCACAGGGAAAAGGCCATGTAAAAACACAAGAAAACGGCTGTCTGGGAGGTCTCAGGATAAACCAACTCTTCTGACACCTTGATCTTGGACTTCCAGCTTCTAGAACTGTGAGAAAATACATTTCCATTGTTGAAGTCACCTGGTCTGCAGTGTTTTGTTATGGGAGCTCTAGCAAGCTAATACATATTCTTTGCCTGTTTTTCTATCGAGTTATATATGTCTCTTTCTTATTGGAGTTTTAACCTTGGATACTAATGTTGTCAATGTACATATTGCATGTATCTTAGTCTGAGTCTTGTTCTTTTTTTTTCTGGTTTATAATTTGGTCATATAGAAATTTTTAAAAATTTTAGTGGAGTCAAATGTGTTGCTTATGGTTTGTACTTCTCAAGCTATTCTCTGAGCCTCATGTTTCTCATCTGTAAAATAGAGACAAAACAACCCTTATTTAAAAAGAAAAAAAAAAGCCCTATTTCATAGGATTGTTTGTAGATTAAATGTGATCATGCATATAAAGTGTATATTAGCACCTGGCTATTACTATTATTGCTGTTATCATAGGACACACACACAAAAATCTCTCTGCGTATTGCCAACAAAGAGATACTCACCACCTAAACAATCATCTAGTGTGCAATAAATTTTTTCGCAATGTGTGAATTTAGACTCATCTTCCCTTTCAGCATTCTTTATTTCATTCTGTATTAATAATAAACAAGGCATTAATATTAATACTTCAAATAAATATCATAAGCCTCTTCTGAACATGTATATGCATTGCTATGTAACTTTTTGTTGCATGGGTAGAATGTACTCTGGTACCCTTTCCTACTGTATATCTGAACTCCTTTTTAGTAAAACCATGCTAATGGAATTACGATATTAAATGACATTAAGCAAGTATCTTGCTATTTTAATATTTTGGTTTTTTGGTAAGTCAAATCATGTTACTATAAATGTAGGGATGTATGATAATGTATATATCTCTGATCACCCTTTGAAGTTTGCTAAATCTGGTCTAAACAACTACGAGGATACTTGTTATTCAGGTCTTGACAGTGAAGATCCAGGGTTCCAGTAATGAGGTGAAATATGATTCCAATAGATAGAAATCTAAAAAAATTCATGTAGGGCTTATTCTCAAAGTTACCTTAATGTTATCTAGGATAAAAGGTTTTGTGAACTAAATTAATAGTATAAGTAAGATATTAAAGAAAGTATTTTGAAAGTTTGAGGAAAGCATTGGTTTAATCATGGATAGTGTATCAAGTATGTGAGACCTAGAGGATGCTCTAAAAAAATTTGTATCTCTTACTAAAGTCATCTGGTTACAAACCTCTATTCAATCATGCTTCTTCTTACATTGTTGTACTTATTGAATGTACCTCAAGTATGAGAAAAACTGAGTTATATTTTACAACAATTTGTTTTTTTAGACTCCTTGGTAATTTAGACCATTCCTGCTAATGAGATTTTAAAAGTATCAAGAATAATATACTTGAAAAATAAAATAGCATTATTCACATGTATTGATGTTATATTTACACAAACTTCTTGGAACTCCACTATTTGTCAAATACAGAGCTCACTTCTAACTCTAGCCTTCTATGATAATAGTGTTTTTAACTAAAATATGCCTTTTGTTCCTTTAGTCTATAAATTCTTTATAAAGAACAAAATACTCAGTGAATTCCAAGAAAGAGAACCTCTTTACATAATTTAAGAATTCGTTCTTTATAATTTGATACATAAGATGTTAGACCCTGATTAACACTATAACAAAATTTTCTTTTAAAATGAAAATATGGGGGCGCCTGGGTGGCTCAGTTGGTTAAGCGACTGCCTCCGGCTCAGGTCATGATCCTGGAGTCCCTGGATCGAGTCCCGCATCAGGCTCCCTGCTTGGCAGGGAGTCTGCTTCTCCCTCTGACCCTCCTCCCTCTCATGCTCTCTGTCTCTCATTCTCTCTGTCTCAAATAAATAAATAAAATCTTTAAAAAAAAAGTTTAAAAAAAAAAATGAAAATATGGGGGCGCCTGGGTGGCTCAGTCGTTAAGCGTCTGCCTTCGGCTCAGGTCGTGATCCCAGGGTCCTGGGATCGAGCCCCACATCGGGCTCCCTGCACCGCGGGGAAGCCTGCTTCTCCCTCTCCTACTCCCCCTGCTTGTGTTCCCTCTCTCACTGTGTCTCTCTCTGTCAAATAATAAATAAAATAATTAAAAAAAAAATGAAAATGATAAAAATTATCATTTTATAAAAGAATCTTTAACATTATTTTTTAAAAAAGAAAGTAAAAACACTCAAAAGCCCATTACCTAGGGAGAAGCTATATGATCATCTTTCTACATCAACAAATATATAGTTCATCCTTGAACAACATGAGTTTGAACTGCCCAAGTCCACTTACACATAGATTTTTCTGATAAATACAGTATAATAGTGTAAATATATTTTATCCTAATGATTTTCTTTTTTAAAAAATTTAATTTGTTTAGGGGCACCTGGGTGGCTCAGATGGTTAAGCATCTCAGGGTCTTGGGATGGAGCCCTGCATTGGCCTCCCTGCTCAGCCGGGAGTCTGCTTCTCTCTCCCCAACCCTGCTCTCCCTCTCACTCTCTCTCTCAAATAAACAAAATCTTTAAAAAAATTGTTTATTTGACAGAAAGGGGGGGTAGAGAGAGAGAGATAGCGCAGGGGATAGGGGCAGAGTGAGAGGGAGAGAAAGTCTTAAGCTGACTCCATGCTCAGGGCTGAGCCTGGGGCGGGCTCACAACCCTGAGATCAGGACCTGAGCTGAAACTGGGTCAGATGCTTAACTAACTGTGCCACCCAGGCACCCCTACTAATGATTTTCTTAATCACATTTCTTTTCTCTAGCTTACTTCATTATAAGAATACAGTATATAATAAATATAACACACAAATCATGTGTTAATTGACTGTTCATTCATGTTATTGTTAAGGCTTCCGCTCTACAGTAGGCTATCAGTACTTAGGTTTGGGGGGCCTCAAAAGTTATATGAAGCCTTTCAACTGTGAGGGGAGTCGGTACCTCTAAGCCCCGCATTGTTCAGGGGTCAACTCTGTATCTGTATTACCATATTTAAGGTTTACATATCCACTGTAAATCTGTGAAATAATTTAACTAGGTCCCTACCGATAAAAATTTAGGTTGCTTCTAATGTTTACTTATTTATTTTAAATGATACCTTTCTTAAAGTTTATTTATTTATTTTTAGTAATCTCTAAACCCAACCTGGGGCTGGAACTTAACAACCCCGAGATCAAGAGTCACATGCTCTTCTGACTGAGCTCATCAGCACCGCTAATGTTTATTTATTAAAGGTAATTCTGAACATATCTCATTTTCATACTTCCTTGAGGTAGAATTAAAAATAAAATGTGTTTTCTTATCACTAAATAGCCCTTTAGATAGGTTATGCCATTTTATGGGCTAATCCACATGAAACTGCCAATATTTGTCCATTTTTGAACAAAGTCAAATTACATATGGCACAACCTAATTCATTCCTATTATTTACATACTTGCTAATAATTGTGAACCATTTAGAACAACATTCATCATGATTTGGGACAATATAATCTTTTATTTTGTGAGAAAGGGCACTTGGAATTTTCCTTAAGATAGAAAATCATTTACATGCAGGGTCTGTCAATGCCATTAGGAATGACATTTGAATCATTTGCATGCTGACATGTTAGAATATGCTCTAGATCAAATGTCCAGTCCCTTGGACTCTTTTCCTGCCCGTCACTGAGTTGTCATGGCCATGTCCCTTGGTTGCACACTTAAGACTTCACATGGAGGCTACAAAGGATCAGTTTTAACACTATTTGTAAAATTCTCTCTTTCTTTGTACACTAAGGGAACTGGGAAAACCAAACCCAGTATTCCCCTCCTCTGAGCCTCCACTGGAAATTCTTTTATTGTTCCTCATATTTTTGAGGAGATTTTTGTATGGAAGACAATGTGAAAGCTGAATATATCTGTACCTCCTAGAACTTATAAGCAATGCACACCTGAGGCAAGTTTGAAGTGGTACTGCTGGTTTCCATATAGAAGGGAGAATTTGAGTGGGTGAAGTCTTGAGAAAGACTGCTGAGATTCACGGCCTCCACTTCCGACATGCTTCCTAATTTTTCATGAGAAACATCCATTTCAAAATGCACAGGATCTGAAGATGATGACCAAACTTTTTGACAGTCCTTGTTCCTAACTGTTGAATGATGGAAGGCTTCTTTTAAAAAACAACATAATTTTAATGTTTATTAGTATATGCAAACAAAGGGTTCCCCTCCCCCATCTCTCCTTGCATTAAGAAAGCAACATTCATTGCCCTAAATTTTTAAATGTCCATTGTCAGGTTATTAGAAAAATAAAAATTTTTAGTTTGAGTATACTATGGTCACTTTGTGTTGTAGTAAATACCAATTTGGACAAAAACAAGTCAATATATATGTGGCTACTATCCAATAATTTCCTAAAAGACTTGGGACCCAGAAGATGAAGGGACCTCTCAGTTACTTAAAAGATATTTACAAAATATTATCAGAGGACTATCAGGTTCCACAAAATACTGTGTTGCTATTTACTTGATACTCTCTATTATGTCATTATCAAATCAAATCCAACGTTGTAAATCAGTTTTCTCCCACTTTCCTATCCCACACTATTCTCTCAGGCACTTGGATTTGAAAACTTGGAGACACCTTTGGTATCCTTCTACCTCATCATCTGGGCTATCCAGTTACCAAGTCCTGTCCATTCCTCCTTTAAAAATGTTTTTCACAACCCATGTTTTCTTTCCACCTCTTACATCATCACACTGGCCCATACTCTCGTGACTTCCTCAGGTCTGTCAGGGGATGGGAGTGGAAAGGATGTCCAATTACACGGAGTCCAAGTTCTTCTGCTTGACTTTCTAGGTCTCCCATAGCCTGGACCCACATTACCTATCCAGTATTCCGCTGTTCTAGTCAGATCCGGCTCAATTCCCTGTAAATAGATCATGCTCCTTACTACTTCAGTCTGACATGGCAAATGTTCTCTCCCGAAATCTTCCTATCTACCCATTCATCTATGTTTAAAATTCCTGCAATGTTGTTGTGTCTAAATCTCTATCACAATTCAGCAGCTATTCATTTTACTGTTTTAATATTTGCCACCTTTTTTTTTTTAAAGATTTTATTTATTTATTTGAGAGAGAGAGAATGAGATAGAGAGAGCATGAGAGGGAGGAGGGTCAGAGGGAGAAGCAGACTCCCCGCCAAGCAGGGAGCCCGATGCGGGACTCGATCCCGGGACTCCAGGATCATGACCTGAGCCGAAGGCAGTCGCTTAACCAACTGAGCCACCCCGGCACCCAGTATTTGCCACCTTTTCAAGGGTGTTAGTATTTACAGATTTTTTTTAAGTTTTATTTATTTAAATAATCTCTACACCCAACATACGGCTTGAACTCACGATCAAGAGTCACATGCTCTTCCCACAGAGCCAGCCAGTGCCCCAGTATTTAGATTATAAACGCCTCCAGGGGAGTCCATGCATGATTTTTCAGTAGTCCTTACGGCAAATAGTAATGTCGCTCACAGAGTCAATACTGATTGAATGAATCCTGCAGTCCAATGACTTATTTCTATTAAAACTTCTCAATCTACAGTCACTACCCATTTGCCTGGATTATTTTATTGAATTATCGAATTAATGAATAATTTTTCGAGGCTTGATTTTTTTTTTTTTTTTCCAAAATCACGTCATCACTGGAAGTATAAAAAAAGCCAGTGAGTCAAGCAGGCTAGCTGGGATTAGTGAAAGGCCCAACTTTATGCTCACCTTTTCCATCTTCCAAACACATAAATGCTGCCTGGGCTGGGATGAAGGGAATCTGAAAAATCTTTGTTTTCCAAATGCAGAAAAAGGCAAGAGCCTTATTTCTTAAATTTTTTTGATGGGTCTAGAACTTCCAGTTACACTTTTAGAACTTTGTTCATATCGCACAGTCTGTCAGCTTACTTTTTAAGTTAAGCTTTCCATTTTCATTCTGTCCTTACCAGATTTATGCCACACTTTAAAAATATTTATACAGATATTTAGATAGATATTCCAGGGCAGTCTAACGCTGTTTTAAGATGGGTGTTAAAAAAGTCATTGGGAGTTACCGCCCCAAATTCTAGTTGTTTTAAAATTTTTTCAGTCGTATGACAAACTTTCTAAAATCACTTATCTTATTTCCCCCTCAAAGCAAAGCACCAAACTTAAGTCTAAAAAGTGTGCTCACTTCCAGGGTCCATAGTTTCTTGGATGCGCGGTAAGGATTTCGTCCTTCCTCCCTCAGCACTGGATTTTTCGGGAGGAAGAACGCTTTTAGGCCTCTCCCACCCAAGGCCTTTAAAAACTAGCGGAAGGCAAGCAGGCGGCTGGAACGACCTGTGTGACGTCAGCCCGCCGCGCCAGCCAATCTCGGCCGGGTATTCCGCCCGCCGGGCTCCCGTGCCCTCGTCCCCGCCCCTCGCCCCCTTGGGCGAAGCTGTGGGGGGGACTTCCGGCAGGGCTGAGACTTCCGGTCGGGCGGGCGTTTCCGGTCGGGGAGAGCTTGCTTCCTCGGGTTGAAAGTGCATCCCCTCTTTAGCACGTGGCGTTCCCTTTTAGCTTAGGGGCTTCTGAGTAGTTTTCTAGGCGGGCCTCTGCCGAAAGGCGGTTTGGTGGTCCGCGGGTAGGGCTGTCTCTGTGCGGTTCCTGTTCCAGCGCTGGGCGGACGGCCTCCCGGGCGTCGGGGCTTTGCGCGCTTCCGTCATGGACTACCGGCGGCTGCTGATGAGCCGGGTGGTCCCGGGGCAGTTCGACGACGCGGATTCCTCCGACAGGTGGGCGCCGGTTGGACACTGTGACTCCATTGGGATTCTGCTGTCTCCTCCTCCGCCGCCCCCTTAGGCTTTTGAGGGAGACCGGTAGTTGTTCCGCTTCTTTCTCCATCCCAGCCGGGTCTCTTATCCCACTTTGCGGCAGAGTTAAGGAAAGCCACTTGTCAACCCCGATTAGTTAGCATCGCTGACAGGCACAGTTGGGGATAGCGGCTGGGAACATAGATTTTTGCTCTTTAACTGCATTCAGCGTTCAAAAAATATTTGAGCACCTGTATGCCAGGTTCTGACCTCGGCGCTGGAGATGGTGATGAACAAGACTAAGTCCCTGCTGTCATTGAATTTTACCTTCTACTTGGGACGGACTGACAATTGAGTACCTAGAGTTACTTAAAAAAAAAAAAAAACCAAAAAGCAGATATTAGACACTATGCAAATAATTAAAATCAGTTGGTAGACTAATGACAGTGTCAGGAGAGAGTTAAGTCCAGGTCTGAACGACAAAAAGGAACTTATCTCAAGAAGAGGAGAAGGGACAGCCGCTCAGCAAGAGGAGACAACAGTGCGAGGCCCAACGTTGGTATCCCTCTTGGCTGTGAAGGGAAGATTTACGGGCCATTGTACCTAGAGCACAACAGGAGTAGATGAGAAGATGGCTAGGTACTGATGTAGAAGTGAGAAGGGGCCAGATCATGTAGAGCTTTGTAAGTGTTGAGGAGCTGGGATATTTAGGTCTTAATAGAAAGCCATAGGAGAGATTTTAGCAGGGGAATGACATAATGTGATTTATGATTTAAAGGAGTTACTCTATTAAGGAGAGGATGGTTTTGGAGGGTATGAGTGGAAGCAGTTCAAAATTGATAAAGTCGGGGTGCCTGAGTGGCTCAGTCCGTTAAGCGTCTGACTCTTGAGATTTCAGCTCAGGTAACGATCTCAGGGTTCCCACATCTGCGTAAGATTCTCCCTCTGCACACCACCCCCACCCCAACTCATTTGCACTGTCTCTCTAAAAAAATAGTTTATTCAGTTCAGACATGATGGGAGCTAGATTTTGGACGTAAGAAGTGGCAAGATTTGGTGGTGGATTGGATGTGGGCTATGAGGCAAAAGGAATTAAGGATAACTCCTACATGAAGCATGAGAGTCCTTTCAAATTCCAAATAAATGGTTTTTACTTTATGTTCACAGTAAGGATTCATTACATGAAGATTTTATTAATCAGTTGGGGATTTTTTCAGTAAATACACGTTGATCATTTTCTGTGTGTCAGATCTAATGTTAGTGGGTAGGGATACATTGGTAAACATCACATTGATTGACACAGGGCTTAAATGCAGATTTAAGAGATGCCATTGTCTTAAATAAGTTAAAAAAGTTTAACTTCCTTAATAATTAAAGAAATGCAGATTAAATGTGTAGAGATGCCATTGTCTTAAATAATTAGACAATAGATATTTGTATTAGAATTGGGTAAGTAGTATAGAGGAAAAATGGGTGAGGAATAGGGAAGACTTCCCTGAGCAAATGATCATAGGCTAGTACTGGAAGGTTACATTAGATTTAGCCAGAGAAATAAGCTTTTATTTCAAATGCATTCCAGATTTTTGTTTCCAGATAGACATATATAAGGCTTTAGGGAAGAAGTAGGAAGACGAAACAGCCCAGTGTGGCTGGTGAGTAGTTAACAGTAATGAGTGTTCACTGGTTTTCCATCCATCATTGGATATTGTGAAGATAAACCAGTGGATTTTGTGACCCCACCACACTCCATGGTTTCTTGGCAATCTTTAGAGACATTTGTTTGTCACAACAGGGAGGTCGGGGGATTGCATAGTGGCATCTGGTTGGTAGAGGCCAGAGATGCTGCTAAACAACCTACAAGGCACAAAACGACCTTCCACAATAAAAAATTGTCCAGCCGAGGTTGAGAAGTTCTGGTAGAAATGAAGTATAACTTAAACATGCCACTCTAAATCACTGGCAATTGAAGGATCAAATTAAGGATTGTATTTACAAAAATCATAGTAAATATAAATAGCAGATGTGTAATGATTATTTTCTTCCCACCCATATCTATGGAGAGTTGGAGCCCTGTGAGCTGTTGCTAATTAATAATCAGGACTGATCATCTGAATTTACTAAAGTCTGGTCTTTAAGATGGTAGTTCACATTATCAGCTGTTATATGTGGTTCCTGTCTTTGTTCTCTACATGAGAGGTCAAAACTGGTAGTACCTCTATTGAATCTGACCTGCGGACATATTTTGTTTGGTATGCACAGTGTTTTGTTAAAATTAAATGTACCAGTTAAGTGGGAGATATAAAAATCCACACTTCTGGCTTCTCTTGAATAACTAAGAAGATATGGTAGCACTTGATGTGAATTTTCACATGGCAGGAAAACACCCTATTGGTTGTGCTCCCTTTACTCTGGGCCTGTTCTCTGGGTTTGAGAATTCATTACTTCTTGTACTGAATTACACACAGACTCCCTCTCATTTGTGTTCACCGTTCCTTCCCTTCACAAACAAGGGTGATCTGAAGTTCTTTGTGTAACACAAATCTTGATACAGCTCCTTTTGTTGGAGTGGCATTGAGTTCAAGGTAAGGCTGCTTTAGACTTATTCTCAAATTTTGTCAAAAAGGCCCCCCCCCCCCCCCCTTAAGGCATATCTGCGAATGGTTTTCCTAGAGCCAGGTCTGGTGTACTGGTCAGAGTCCATTCATTCAGCAGAGAAAATGACAGTGTAAATCCTAACTTCATTAAGGCAGACGTGGGTTTCATACAGGATGCACTTCTTCTTTAGTAGGACCTGGAGAAGAAGCAAACAATGGGAATGGCACTGTGAAAAACAATCTGGTGTTGAGTTTATGGGGAGGTACTTTGGAAGGAAAACTTTTAGATTTATTGGTATAGATTTAGTCTGTTGTATCACAAATAAATACATGTGTAAATCCAAGTAGAGGTATGTGTAAACATGCTGAAACATTGTTATTTCTAGTGAAAGCATTGACTTGAAGACCATCAGAGAACAAGATGGTGTTCTGTTTGAGGACCTGCAGAAGAATATGTCTGAGAAGATGGAGGGAGGTGAGATGGAGGAGGAGGAGGAAGAGGAGGAGTACGATGATGATGACGACTGGGACTGGGATGATGGAGTTGGGAAACTCACCAAGGGTTATATCTTGAATGCAAGGAGTAACCCTCAGGTATTTTATAAATGATTTTATACATCTTTATGTTATTGTTCATGTCGTCTTTTTTCAGAGGACTTTTTGTCATTCAGGAATTGACTGAGAGATTTCCCTCAGGTTATGTTGGCCTGTAGCCCCAGTCTTTAAGCATTTTCGTTCTTCATCCTTTTCCTATTTCTGATAATTTCCTGGATGTAGATTCCTTTCATAATCAGTACACTTAAAAAGAGTCATTTAAATTATGATAAGATGATGAGCTTTAAAATCTGCATGGGAAAGGACGTGAATAGGCAGTTTACTACAAGTGGTTAGGAAACATGGAGAAAAAAGTTTAACTTCCTTAATAATTAAAGAAATGCAGATTAAATGTGTAGAGATGCCATTTTTTCACCTATGAAACTGACCAAGACCAAAAATACATAATTGTTGATGGAATAAATAAGCACAGTTATTTGGAGGATGAACTGGTATGTGGTAAAAAGCATTTAAAATATAAAATAAATGCTTTGACTTAGCAGTTCTTCTAGGATTATGCCAAGACTAATGTTAAAAGAATGATCCTCCAGTATTGCTTATAGAGAAACATTGGAAGGAACATCTTGTTTAAATTTGCTGAGGGACTGATTTCACATGATGGGATATTGTGCAGCTTTAAAATATGTTGCAGTGGAAGTCTATATTAATGACGTGAACATGTGTTTATGATCTACCATGATCTGTGTACAAAACGCAAGTTACCAAACTACATAAAGTCTTCTTCTCAACTAGAGGTACTTAATGTTTTAGGAGTTTGCAGAGTCCTGGGATTAGCATGGTACATCTTCCTGGAGCATAGTTTCTGAAAGAGATGGAGGGAGGGAAAAACCAACAACATTTCTTTGAATATTAAGACTATTTCATAGACTAGAATGCCTGCAATTAAAGATAACCAGATGAATTTCACACTTGGGGTCTTGTTTTGGTAACTCCTCCATTGATTAATTGGTGAGATGTTGAGCTATTTCTACATAGAGTATTCCCTTTTAATAAAGCTGGAGATACAAGTAAGTATATGTGCTTAAATGTTAACTGTTATCTTGGGTGTTGGGGATTATAGGTGATTAAAATTTTACCTGTGTTTTCTACTATGAACCTGTATTTAGAAGTGTTTCAAAAGTTATGTTTAGTAGAAAACTTTAAAGAGGTCTATGCAAACAGGAAACAAGTCAGCCTCACACTTCCAAGTTGAGATAACAGGATTAAGTTAGCAATTATTATGGGCGCCTTTTTATCTGTACTGTATTCTCTTATTTATGGGTTCTTTCTTCTCTTTTTGCTATTACTTAAGTTTATGCATAGTGCCAGTCTAAGTTGTTAAGCCTCATACTTAATCTTTCCCTTTCTTGAGACGGTAGGCCCAAAATGAGATTCTTAGAACCAGTTTAATGTTGGTCTAAGCTCTTTGTTATACATTTTCAGTGTAAATGGACATTTTCAAATTTTAAATCTATAAAGCAGTCATACAAAAAAATGCATTTAATTTTAATTTGTTATTATGAGGAATACATTGTAGAGAGGTTAAAAAATGGCAGATGGTACAGATTTCTTTAACCACTAACTTTGTCCTATTTCAAATGTCTTTTAAAAAAATTTTTTGCGCAAGTATGATTGATTCTTAACCTTTTCTTAGGGTTCTCATTCAAGTATTGATGCTTTAATAGTTAACTGTGAGCTAAGGAAAAAGGCACGTGATAAAGAACCCTAGGTCTTTATTTAAAACTAGTGTCTTCAACTCTGAAACTCGTTTCTTCTAGGCAAATCGACAGACTTCCAATTGCAATTCAGCCAAAATGTCTACTCCAGCAGACAAGGTCTTACGGAAATTTGAGAATAAAATTAATCTAGGTGAGTTCGTAAAATATATTTGGGCTCTGAGGAAGTTCTTCAGAGACCATAAAGTGTTATAAAATGTTATTAGATCAAGAAATGAGCATATTCACTGTTACTGGCTGACTGATAACATTTAGAGAAGATAAAAACTCAGCAATTTAAAAACCTGACTTCAGGAAGAGACGTTAGCTTTTGCTTTTTTATTTCTGTTTTCTCCTCTGCTATAGAATTATAAAGTTACAGGTACCTGTTCAAGTTTTCGTCTGTTTTGTATTAGATTTTATGGTAAGATTATCTCATAGTAGGATGTTGAAAATACACTTAACCTTTGAACGTGGGAGTTGGGGTGCTGACTCCACACAGTCGAAAATCCATGTATAACTTTTGACTTCCCCCAAAACTTAATAGCCCACTGTTGACAGGAAGCCTTGCCGATAACATAAACAGTTGATAGACGCATAGTTTATATGTTATAGGTGTTATATATTTAATTCTTACAACAAAGGAAACTAGAGAAAAGAAAATGTTAAATCATAAGGAAGAGGGAATACATGTGCAGTACTTGGCTGTGAAAAATCTGCATGTGAGTGGGCCTGCGCAATTCAAACCCATGTTGTTCACGGGTCAACTGTACTAGAAATATAGAATCTAAGTACATTTTGTTTTACTAGACACTTTTTATGTAGGCATCAATCATTTAGTGAGCTGTCGAATGTTGATTTGAACCACCACCTCTTTAAAAATGCAGGGTCATCTTTGTCTTGTGGATGTTAACTCATTATAAACCTAGCACATCTCATAGCCTATCATTGACCTATAATTTAAAATGAAACTTGCAGTTTTTAGAATCAGACTTGGAATTCAGGCAGTTATATTATCCATATTAGTTGTATAAAGTATTAACAAGTGTCTGAAATTTAGCATATGCAGGTGAAGTATTTTGGAGGGGATTCCTGGGTCTAGGTTTCTGTGGCTCAGAAATTACAGCCGTGGTGATGAGAGTGACAATACTTGTCTCTAAGGAGACAGAACTTCGTGCTCAGCTATAAAAACATTAACATTTTTTCATTATTAAAAGATACTCTCTATACAACAGAATATTTAGAAAATAAGGAAGAGGGAAGTATTCTGTTCATACTGTTGTCTTTTTGTCTTAAATGTTGTTTACATTGTGGGTTTTTAAATTTTCAGATAAGCTAAATGTTACTGATTCTGTCATAAATAAAGTCACCGAAAAGTCTAGACAAAAGGAAGCAGATATGTAAGTAATATTTTAACTATAATACATGGCTGATAAGGACTAATTCCAAACAAATTAAGTAGCATCTTGGTCATAATTCTTTTGGAAAGGATATTTCTTTGCATACTTAAACCAGTTTTTTCTTTCTTTTTTTTTTTAGCTTAGGTGAGGGTATCCTTTCCTTTATAAGTTGAAAATATTGAGTCTTAAGAAATGTATGGTCAAACTATAATTTTGTGAAATTCACAGATGCATTACCCTCTCAGGAGGGTAATGGTTTTAAACTAAAATGTTAGAGTGTAAAAATGTTCCCTTTTAAGAATTTATTAAAATTTTTTCTCTTCCATGAAACATTTTTTAAAATTCAAGGGAAGATTTAAAACTAAATAGTGATATAACTAAGAGCAGTTTTTATTTATTCTTCTCAAAATCAGTTGTTTAAGATCTGGCTAACTTCTATATCTTAATAACTCTAAGGTGTTTACAGTTATTGTAGAAAGTGATACTAAGATTATACAACTAGTGGTGTTGGAACCGAACTTAAGGGGCACTTGGGTGGCTCAGTAGGTTAAGTGTCCAACTCTTGATTTTGGCTCAGGTTGTGATCTTAGGGTCGTGAGATGGAGCCCCTCATTGGGCTCAGCTGGAGTCTGCTTGCGGAGTCTCTCTCTCCCTCTGCCCCTCCCCCTGCTTGGGTACGCATGTATGTATGCACTCTCTCCCTCTAAAATAAATAAATCTTTAAAAGAACTGAACTTAAAAACCAGCTTTCTTCTGGTTTATTGCTATACCCAAGAGATACCAGCTTTTCTTTTCTTTTTGTAAAAATTTATTTATTTTCGGAGAGTGCTTGTGCACCCACTGGAGCCGAGGAAGGCGGAGAGGGAGAGAGAGAATCTCAAGCAGACTCCATGCTGAGCGCAGAGTGTGGGGGAGGGGTGGAGCTCAGTCTTGCAACCCTGAGATCATGACCTGAGCTGAAACCAGGAGTCCAACGCTCAACTGACTGAGCCACCCAAGTGCCCCAAGATAGAAGCTTTTTGAGAACTGCCATAGTCATTTGTTATTTCACGGAAGTGTTTGTTTGAATCTTTGTGTTTGGATCTTTATGAGTTTAGTGCTAATAGCGTCACTTAGTGTGAGCCGAAGCCAATCAGAATTCGCATTTTAATGTAGAGCCCAGTAAATACCTGAAGATGATAAAAACTTGTATCTTTGTAGAAAGGAACTCTAAAGAGAAGGCAGTATAAATGACTCTAATTCTACATTAATAGAATCATTAAAGATTTAAGGACAGTATTCTCGGTGTTTTCTCTTTTGCAGCGTAGTTCACTTTACTCCAGCTGCTCTTTTTATCCAATCCTTCTGAAATATGGAGAGAATTATTTTTTCTTATTGCAGATATGCTCCTTTTGCTCTAGGGAACTGAACTGATGATTAAGGGGACATGAAGGAATCATCACCGAGCAATGAAACTACAATGAGATTATGAAATCTATTATTAAAGAAACTACCTATTTAGGAATTTCATGGAATGATATACATTTGGAAACTTTATTTTGGCTTCTAGATTTTGAATGTCACATATACTTTTTTGGCTTTGGTTAGGTATCGCATCAAAGATAAGGCGGACAGAGCAACTGTGGAACAGGTACAATTTTAATGTGCTGCAAGCTCTCTATTTTATTTTATTTTAAGATTTTATTTATTTATTAGAGAGAGAGAGAGCATGAGCTGGGCAGAGGCAGAGGGAAAAGCAGATTCCCCTGCTGAGCAGGGAGCCCATGCGGGACTCGATCCCAGGACCCTGAGATCACAACCTGAGCAGAAGGCAGACGCTTAACTGACTGAGCCACCCAAGCACCCTGCAAGTCTCATTTTAAATGAGCATTTCTTTTCTTTTAGGATTATAGTTTGCATTCATCCTTCTTGCTTAATGCTAATGTTGTCTAAAACTACTTGTAGTTTTGAGTTTAGAAATCTACATTTTGCTTTATTTATACTAAGACTGTTAATAGATAGAGTCATGCCCCTCTCTGGCCACCATGCAGTGCTTTCCTCTTCTGTGGGGAAGCAGAATTTACTGTAAGACCAGGAATCTTTTGTCTTGTCTTAAACAAGGTCAGCAGGAATTTTGTGAGCTTTCTCAAAAGATAGGTATCTGCCACAAAGCAGGTGTGTGTGTGTGTGTATTTTCATTTAGAAATTCCTTACTTGGTTTAGAAATTATGCTTATTTTATTCTTTCTATTCAAGAGTGGGGACAGATTTTCCTAATTTCCCCGTATGTAGAGAGTTGTGATTGGATGTTAGCATTGGCCCAGATTTTTGATGTGAAGGTGATAGAAAGGGTCAGAACATTACTAGTGCCACCTCCCACCCTTCTGCCCAGCCCTGTCCAGAGGCACAAACTCACTTTGCAGTCATAGCCTCTTCCACCGCCCCTGCTGCTGTCCACCTCTGCCCCCAAGGGAGTCACACCCAGTCAGAGCTCAGAACCACTTGTGCAGTTGGAGAAGTCTGCCCTAGTTGGGCGGAAGTAGGTCTGGGATCCACGTCTTCATTGCCCTCTCATGTATTTGTTTTGTGTCGTGTGTGTGTGTGTGTGTGTGTGTGATTGAAAACGAAGGGTAGTCCAGCTGAGAGAAGTGAGGCAGCTCTAATTGTCACAGACCCTAAAAGGACTAAGGCAGGAAGTCCTTTTTTCCCCTTTCGAAATTAATGTGGAATTGATCTTAAGTGGTATTTTAAGGTATGTATTTGTAAGTTCATTCACTTTGCGGATTTCTTTTTTCCTATTTTGTTTACAAGCCATTTTGGCACGTTGCCCCTCCTGTGGCCCTGACTTGGCTTCCCCCCAGTTCGCAGCAGTGCAGGCGCCTGTCTGCATCCTTCCGCCCCAGCAGCGTGCCCTCCCTCTGCTCACCTGTGCGCCCAGCCGCCCGGGCAGCTAGTGTCTGTTCGCTCACTTCCCTCTCATTTCGATCTAGTTGCCATTGATGCCGTTTGGCTTTTAGTCATGCAGTCTTCCAGGGTTTTGTTTTTATTAACCTTAGGTTTCTGGTGTGACCGCAGCTGTGTCACTGAAGGACAGACCCTAAAGTGTAGTTAGATTGGGCCGCTTTACACCGTCTCTCTCCATGGAGGTGGAGGGGCTGTTGTGAGTGTCCCTTGAAAGTGCGTGTAAATATGTGGCTGCTTCAGTTCGGGCACGGATGGGACCAGGCTTTAAGTTCATGGCTTTTTTGTTAAGGAGGACTTTGGAGTCCTTTTTAGTCAAGATTGATTGCTCTGGCTTCAAAGGAGACCCTTTCCCTGATTTACTCATCTATAGCAGAGGTGTGCAAACTCCTTCTTTAAAGGGTTAAATACTTTAAGCATTGTGGCTCAATTTTTTTTTTTTTTTTTACAAGTATTTTAAAATGTAAAGACCATTCCTAGCTTACAGGCTGTAGAAAAACAGGCTGTGGCCTGGATTTGACTCATGAGCTGTATGGTGCTGACCTCTGATTTAAAGTTTCATATCCAGTACAGTGGCCACTGAGCACTTGAAATGTAGCTAGTCTGAACTGAGATGTGCTATCGACATCAACAGGCTTGGTGTGAAGGCTTAGTGTAAAAAATGCAGTGTTAAATCTCTCGTTGGTAACTTACATCGATTGCATGTTGAAACTGATAATGATTTAGATATACTGGATTAAATAAATAAAACAAATTTTACCTGCTATTTTTTACTCCTTTTAATGTGACTAGAAAATGTAAACCTAGTTATGTGACTTGCATTATATTCTATTAGCTAATGTCAGTCTGCCGTCAATTTCTGCTTCCCTTTGACTTGGTAGACTTTAATTTCTGTGACTGAACTTGTTGGTGCGTCTCTTGTTCCTTTCACCTTCGTGTGGCATTTTATTTATTAAAAATTATAGTGAATAAAAACACCACAGTTGATACTTTTCATTGAGTCAGCCAGGATAGCTTAGTACTTAAGCTCTTCTTCAGGTTATTGATGGTCAGATGTTTCAATGAGAAATATTTGGTACTGTCTCTCTGAACTTTTTATTTTTTGCATTTTTTTAGGTGTTGGATCCTAGAACGCGAATGATATTATTCAAGATGTTGACTAGAGGAATCATATCTGAGATAAATGGCTGCATAAGCACAGGAAAAGAAGTGAGCTTTTCTTTGGCTGCCTGAGTGTTTTCATGTTAGTTTTCTTACTTCAGATAACAAATGAAACTAAGGCACTTAGTAAATAAATGGTGCCTTTAAAAAGAAAAGAAAAAAAATACACAAGTCAGAATAGCTTAGTATTTCTAAAAACGGCTTTATTAATATTTATGGGTAGGTAGGAAGTTGTACACACAACCTTGCCTTTTCACCTCCATTACTGTACTGGATCACTGGGTCCAGGTGGTGCCCAGGGTCAGATTACTGCAGGCCTGAATCTTTATCACATGGTTACTAATGGGGCAGGGGCTTAGTCTAGTCTTTCTGAGTCAATGAATCTCTTCCCCGTTTTTTCTTTGTATGTGTATATGGAGAAAGACAGACATGGCATTTTTAAATGAGCCACTCATTCTATGGGAAGCACTTCTCAGTAAAACTCCGTTTACAATCATGAGATGTAAGAATGTCTTAAAATATTTTTCACATACTTGAGATACAAAAATGTTGAAAGCCACTTCTTGTATATGAATTGGATCTTCCTATATACGTAAATTAGAGCTCTACTTACTGTACCTTTTTGTAATGATGTTTAGAATTTTAATTGACATAATCAGAAGACGATGGTGTTTCTCGTACATGTTACTTCAGTTCGCTTGACTTTTTTTAACTTTTGAGGATAGAATCAAATAGAGTGAAAGATTGAAATACTGTGTGTAGTTATTTAACACAAGCTTAATTTGTTTTTGATGCAAAATAGGCTAACGTGTACCATGCTAGCACAGCAAATGGAGAGAGCAGAGCCATCAAAATTTACAAAACTTCTATTTTGGTGTTCAAAGATCGTGATAAGTATGTAAGTGGGGAATTCAGGTGAGTTCAGATTCTTTTTCCAGTTGGCCTAATTTCTATATCCTAAAATAAAAACTGGAATAATGGAATGATGGGAATAACAAATATTTTTCTCGTTCAAGATTTCGTCATGGCTATTGTAAAGGAAACCCCAGAAAAATGGTGAAAACTTGGGCAGAAAAAGAAATGAGGAACTTAATCAGGTGACTGTCTGGGGCGTGGGGCTGTGCTGTGTCCGACATACTGGCCCCCGCTCCTTCCTGCTGGCATATCCCAGGGTGGTTCTGTCCGAAGGTGGGCACTCGTAGTGCTGCTCATTTCCGTTAGATCTGCTGAGGCGCGCAGAAGTGGCACATTCCTGGACAAATAAGAACTACCTTGTTTTCTCTGTTTTGAGAACCCATTACGGAAAAATTCACGTTTATTCAGCAAGGCTGGGTCATTCCAAGCACCTTGGAAGCCATGTGAAAGCATTTAAAATTTATACCGAGGATGATAGGGGGCTAATGCAAGATTTTAAGCAGGGAAATACACAATCAGGTTTTGAGACTGATGTGTCATTTTTTATAGGCATTGGCGTTTTAGACGATTTTGTTAGGACCTAAACTCTATCATAGTTTCCTTTTCGGATTTCAGTCCAGTCGTGGACATACTTATACGTTCTTTGTGCTGACACTTTTATTATCAGGTGAGGGCAACTTTCTTAGCTGAGATCAAGTGTTCTCAAAAATTTGAAGTTTTTTTTTTCTCTTTCGAGTACCTTTTAACATTTTATCTGCTGTGCATTGGTGACATACGTTGGATATTTTAGTATTAAATACTTGTTTTGAAAGTCCTTTTGAAATCTTCTTGTGTTCAGTTAGCTATTAGGTATGAGTCCAACTGGTTTTTTGTTTTTTGGTTTTTTTGTAAGTAAACTACACCCTGTGTGGGCGGGGCTCTAACTCACGACCCCAGGGTCAAGAGTCATGTGCTTTACCCACTGAGCCAGCCAGGCACCCTGAGTCCAGCTGTTTTATTAATCATTGTTGAGGCTAATCAACTCAGAAGACATAACTGCTGTAGTCCATCAGTTCTGAGATGCACATTGCACAGTTTAACATCTCTGGAGTGGGACTGAGTGTTAGAGGCTATGAGATATAGATGAATTGCCAGTGTTTTGCGGTTCTTGGTTGTGCATCTTGGTGCCACTTAAAATCTCTGCGGTCTTCGAGTTTATGAAATACAGTAATACAATTGAGATGTGTTGATGCTGTTTCCTAACAGCCGTATTAATCTTGTGTTCTGTAGCCGTTGTGATTTGTTTTACATGTTGTGTCACCTTTTCATTTGTCCTTTTGTCTTTTTGAAAACCACAGACTAAACACAGCACAGATCCCATGCCCAGAACCTGTCCTGCTGAGAAGTCATGTTCTTGTCATGGGCTTCATTGGTAAAGATGACATGTGAGTATGTAGAAGGCCTAATAATTACATGCTCAGAAGTATGTATTTTTTTCTTTTGGTTTAAAAAAAAAATATCCCTCAAACTAGTGTTTATTTTGGAGCATTTCTGTTGTTTCTAACGTAAAATAAGACACTTAACATTCCACGTTGAAGCTTATCTTTTAAATTACAAAGTGTATGCTCTGCCCGTAGAATCACATGACTTTAGTCTTCAGTTCCTTTGGATTCTCAGAGCAACAATAAGACAAGTCTCAGAATCATCATGAGGCTTAAGCCTGCAACCAGCCCAGCTGGCACGATTTTCTTTGATCTCTTATACCTCACACCCATTATGGTGGCCAGGAAGAAAGCTGTAAACAGTGACAGTCAGAAGTATATTTTTAAGTGCTTCACATTATCTGACCTACAACTATTTGCCATTTAAATAGCTCCTTTCATCTTGGAATGTTTTTTGTGAATCTTTCCCACTGTACTCGTGCAGAGTTACTCATTTATTTTACCTTTTTAAGTCTCAAAGTGCTTCAGAATAACAAAGTTCACCCTGTTCTGAGGAATGTTTTATACAGTAAGCTGGGAGAACACCTGTTTCTTGACAACTTTTTGATTGGTACATCTATAGTGACCCAGTTGCTCAGTGATAAGTTGTTGAAAAGAAGTCCATGTAGCAATGTGTAGTATAAAGCAAGAAAACTTGTTCTGGGGCATTTTATCTTAGTTCATTTTATTTGCATTAAAGGCCAGCGCCACTGTTGAAAAACGTCCAGTTATCAGAATCTAAGGCTCGGGAGTTATATCTGCAGGTCATCCAGTACATGAGAAGAATGTATCAAGATGCCAGACTTGTCCATGCAGATCTCAGTGAATTTAACATGCTGTGAGTGTGTTTTGTCCCTTGGGAACCTCCTGTACAGCGTTTCATGTCCTTTAAAAAAATAAAATCCCAATCCAAGAAGTCATTTTTATTTTTATTTTATTTTTTGCTTTTTTATTTTTTAATTTATTTGAGAGAGAGAAACAGAGATAGCGAGAGCACGAGCGGGGAGGAGAGGGAGAAGCAGACTCCCCACTGAGCGGGGAGCCCGACGCGGGGCTCGAGCCCAGGACCCTGGGATCATGACCTGAGCCAAGGGCAGACGCTTAACCAACTGAGCCACCCAGGCAACCCCGAGAAGTCATTTTTAAATTCTAAAGATTTAAAGTTGGCCTCCACATGGTCATAGTATAGGATGTGTTCTGTGCTTGTGGTGGCCTTAGTCACAGAACTGACCATCTGATCATTAACAGAGTTCTCAGACTTTGGAAATCTTCTCAGTTTTCATCTCTTGCTAGTCAAAGTGGCCTCTTATCCTTACCCACCTTGTTCGTTCTGTTGGTTATTTCGCTTGCTCTTAAGATAGAATTTTTTTAAACAACAAAACGCAGGAAAGTAGAATCCAGGTCCCTGCGTGTCTGGCCCACAGGTACCATAGTGGAGGTGTGTACATCATTGACGTTTCTCAGTCCGTAGAGCATGACCACCCACATGCCTTGGAGTTCTTGAGAAAGGACTGTGCCAATGTCAACGGTGAGTGGAAATTGGAATTCCCTACCGGCTTGTTTGTGTCTGCTGGTTTTGCACTCCGGTGAGCTGCTGGTGTCAGATCTTGGCACTAAATCTTTTGATGTAGCGATACTTCCACCATTTGCTGGGAGATGGTGTGTTTTCATTCATCTCTTTGTTTCCCCGTAACACCGTTGGAGTAACAGCTCCTTCCCTCCTAAGGCTGTGCTGCGTTTTCCTTCCAACAGGTTTCTTTTTGAAGCACAGCGTTGCCGTGACGACCGTGCGGGAGCTCTTTGAGTTTGTCACGGATCCGTCCATTACACAGGAGAACATGGACGCTTACCTCTCAAGGGTGAGATGGGCGAGGAAAAGAAAACAGACAGCAGTAGTGATCTGCACTTACGTGCTGCTTCTCAGGGACTCCAGTTGTTCAGTGTATGCTCGTTTCAACAGCTTCCTGAGACCTCCTGATTTCACACATAGGGAATCAATACAGTAAAAAGCCAATGGGAATGAGAGACGATGGAGTCTGAGAAACAAGCTGAGGGTTCTAGAGGGGAGGGGGGTGGGAGGATGGGTTGGCCTGGTGGTGGGTATTGGGGAGGGCACGTTCTGCATGGAGCACTGGGTGTTATGCACAAACAATGAATCATGGAACACTTCGTCTAAAACTAATGATGTAATGTATGGGGATTAACATAAGAATAAAAAAATTAAAAAAAAAAAAAGCCAATGGGAAATCCAGGTTTCTTGACTTGAAGCATTGGGCAAGATTACATAGACTGCCATAGACCTGTTTGGCTTCTGGTCTTTCCCTTGTTTCTCAGAGGCCTTTTTGAGTCACAGAACTTTTGCACGTGTGGTAAAATGCACATAGCGTAAAACTCACCACTGTAACCACGTGTAAGTGTACGTTCGCTGGCGTTACGTATATTCACACTGTTGTGCAGCCGTCACCACCATCCATCTCCAGAACTTTCTCATCCTGTAAAATACAAACTCCGTACCCATTAAACATTAACTCCCCATTTCTCCCCACCCCCAGCCTGTTCTGCTTTCTCTCTGTGATGTTGCCTACTGTAGGTGCCTCACATAAGTGGAATCCTGCTGTTTTTTTCTTTTTCTGGCCACTTGTTTCCCTTAGCGTAATGTCCTCAAGATTCTTTCATGGAGCACAAACACATCCTGGGCATCCATTCATCTGTGAATGGACACTTGGGGTGCTTCCACCTCTTGGATGTTGGTGAATCCTGCTGCTTTGAACGTGGGTGCACAAATCTCTCTTCAAGCCCTGCTTTCAGTTCCTTTGGGTGTATACCCAAAAGTGGAATTGTGCATTATATAGTAATTCTGCTTTTAATTTTTTGAGGTACTACCATACTGTTCTTCTTAGTGGTGAAACCGTTTTACATTCCCACCCAACACTGCAGAGGGTGCCAGTTTCTCCACATACATCCTCACCATTTTCTGTTTTTTTGTGTTGGTTTTTTCTTTTTTTGGAGTAGCTATCCTAACAGGTGTGAGGTGGTGTCTCATGGTTTTGATTTGCATTTCCTTGATGATGAGTGATGTTGAGCATCTTTTCGTGTGCTTGTTGGCTACGTTAGAGCTCCATTCAGAAAACTTTCTCAAGGAGAAATCGCGCAGAAATCATTGTTTCTGCAGGTGTATTTTCCAGATCATGTGAGCCTGTAGTGGAAGTGGTCTTACTACCTCACTTGTCATTAAGTTCTTTTTTTTTTTTTTTTTTAAGTAGTCTCCATACTGAGCAGGGCTTGAACTCACAACCCTGAGATCAAGACCCGAGCTGAGATCAAGAGTCAGATGTTTAACCGACTGAGCCACCCAGGCGCTCCTGTTGTTCTTTTTAATGTTGTCACCCTCTCCTGGACCATGAGCCCACACGGGACAGGAGGTTTAGTCTTCTATTGCCGTTACCTAATCGGTACCTGGCACATACTAAGCAATTACATATATTAATTGAATAAATACATACCGTTTTTATTCTTAAATTTTTTAGCACTAATTTTAGTGTCTGATTGTAAAACAAAGAACCCTAGTACCACAACTCTTTCCTTTTTTCTATGTATCCTAGTAGAGAACAAATCTCCAGTTTTCCAAGCCAAAAGACTCTTGTAGAATCTTTGTCACCTTAGTTGCAGTCACGGTTTGCTCAAAGAGATTTCTTTGGTGGTTTATTTTTCTGCAGCATTAGAGACACATGCTCAAAATTAGAGGACAGTCCCCCTTTCCTCTTTGATTCCCTTCATTGCTGAAGAATTAAAGGGTGGTTCTTCCATTCTTTGGGTCTCAGTTTTCCTTTAGTAAATATTTTTGCTAATCATTTAAAAATTAAGGAAAGTAGGGTCTTGAGTTCAAGTCCCACTTAAAAACAATTAGGAGCACCTGGGTGGCTCAGTCGGTTGAGCCTTCGGCTCAGGTCATGATCCCAGGGTCCTGGGATCGAGGCCCACATCGGGCTCCTTGCTCAGTGGGGCGTCTGCTTCTCCCTCTCCCTCTGCCCCTCCCCCTGCTCGTGCTCTCTCTCTCTGTCTCTCTCAAATAAGTAAAATCTTAAAAAAAAAAAAAATTAAGGAAAGTAGTTTTACTCTTGAGTAAAGGGGTAGGGATTCCCCAAGCCTAAATGGTTTGATTTATACTGTTACTTTTGAGCTGATAGCAGCCTTTTTGGTGAGATCTGACAGAGCTAACCTGTGTCACTGGAGGCCTCAGAGTCCTTTTTTCAGAAGTGTAGACGTGATACCGATAAAGGTGAGAGCAGGTTTATACTAAAGTTGAGAAATGGATGCACCTTCTGTAGGTTGAATATAAAGGAAAGTAACTTTTGATTTCTTTCCAAGGCCATGGAAATAGCATCTCAAAGGACCAAGGAAGAAAGGTCCAGCCAAGATCATGTGGACGAAGAGGTAAGATATATTATCTTTCCACAGCCGTAGGAAACACTTTGTTTTGAGTTTTTGTTTTTTTAAGGGCATACTAGGTCACCAACTTGATTTTAAGAGAGAAGCAGTTTTCAGATGATGAGAATATTTCCTTTTACATCATTTAACTGAGCCAAATGGGATAAATTACATTTCATTACATCATTCCACTCAGCAACCTATTAGCCCATTGTCCTAGATGTAGAGCTTTACTTACTTATTTGCAGAATAGTTCATGTGCAGTATTGTTATTACTTTCAGATGTGCAGCACGGTGATTCAGCATTTATGTACATTACTGAATAGTCACCACACTAAGTCTAGTTACCATCTGTCACCATACATAGTTACTATAATGTTATTGACTATATTTCCTATGCTGTATTTTATATACGTGTGACTTATTTATTTTAAAACTATAAGTTCATACCTCTAATCCCCTTCTCATTCCCCCATCCTCTCCCCATCTGGCAACCACCAGTTTGTTCTCTGTATTTATGAGTCTGTTTCTGTTTTGTTTGTTCATTTGTTTTGTTTTTATAGAGTCCACATATAAGTGAAATCATATAGTATTTATCTTTCTCGGTCTTATTTCACTAAGGATAATACCTTTGAGGTCCATCCATGTTGTCACAAATGGCAAGATTTCACTCTTTTAAGGCTGAGTAATATTTTATTGTGGGTTTGTGTGTGTGTGTGTGTGTGTGTGTGTATATATATATATATACATTTTCTTTATTAATGGGCACTTATGCTTCTTCCTTATTTTGGCTCTTGTAAATAATACTACAGTGAACATAGTGGTGCATGTATCTCTTCGAATTAGTATTTTTGTTTTCTTTGGATAAATACCCAGAAGTAGAATTGCTGAATTTTGTGGTAGTTCTATTTTTAATTTTTTGAGGAACCTCCATACATTTTTCCATAGTGGCTGCACCATTTTGCATTCCCACCAGCAGTGTATGGGGGTTCTCTTTTCTCTACATCTTTGCCAACACTTACTTCTTTTTGATACTAGCCATTCTGACTGGTGTGAGGTGATCTCTCATTGTGGTTTAGATTTGTATCTCTACGGTGATGCTGAGCATGTTTTCATGGGAGTGTTGGCCATCTGTATGTCTTTGGAAAAATCCCTATTCGGGTCCTCTCATTTTTTAATCAGATTGTTTTTTGTTGGTGGTGAGTTTTACGAGTTCCTTATATTTTGTGGATATTAACCGCCTATCAGATACATCATTTGCAAATATCTTCTCCCACTCAGTAGGCTGTCTTTTTGTTGATGGTTTTGTTTCTTGTGAAAAGGTTTTTAGTTTGATATAGTCCCCATTTGCTTATTTTTGCTTTTGTTGCCCTTGCCTGAGGAGAAAGATCCAAAAAAATACTGCTAAGACTGTATTTAAGTTTACTGCCTTTTTCTTTTAGGAATTTTAAAGTTTTAGGTCTTACATTTAGGTTTTTGCTCTATCGTGAGTTTATTTTTATGTATGGTAAGATAGTGGTTCAGTTTCATTCTTTTGCATGTGGCTGTCCAGTTTTCCCAATACCATTTATTGAAGAGACTGTCCTTTCCCTGTTATATATTCGTATCTCCTTTGTTGTAAATTAATTGACCTTATATGCGTGGGTTTATTTCTGGGCTCTTTATTCTGTTCCATTGATCTATGTGTCTGTTTTTGTGCTAGTGCTGTACTGTTTTGATTATTATAGCTTTGTAGTGTAGTTTGAAATTAGGGCATATAATGCTTTAGATAGAGAACATTTTTAAAGAACCTATTGAAACATTATTCAAGAAGGGAAAACCCGTCTCAGTTCACAAATGTGAATTTTTAAATGATTTAAATGTTAATTTTGGTACCACTGTAGACTTTAAATATGTGTGGTGAAAAAGAAAATTATTTTAATCTTGGGGATTAGTGTATTTTTTAAAGATTTATTTATTTGTTTGAGAGAGGGAAAGAACAAGTAGGAGGGGCAAAGGGAGAGGGAGAGAGAATCTCAAGCAGACTCGACACTAAGCACAGACCCCGACTTGGGGTTCAGTCTCGGGACCCTGAGATCACGCCCTGAGTCGAAACCAAGAGTTGGTCTCTCAACTGATTGTGCCCCACAGGCCCCCCCATAGTAGACTTTTAATCAAAAATTCTCAGAGCTGTTAGTGTGATGGATGAATATAAGGCACCCTATATTTATCAGCAGTTCTGAATCCTTTTCACCATAGCACAGGGTAGATAATATTTCCATGTAAGAACATGTTCCTTTGTAAGGCCTAGCCGGGGGCAGTACTTGCTAACTGCAACTCCATTCCTTTCTTTCCCACTCAGAAAAGCTTTCTGGAATGCAAACAAGGGGAAAGTGGGGACTTCAAATCATTTCACATTTTATCGTTAGTAACAGAGTCCTTTTGGGATCCGCACAGCAACACCAGTGTGTGCAGAGCCTGGCTGAGGATCCATGCTGTAGATGACAGCAGAGTCTTCGGACGTGGTGGGTGTGAGATGCTCAGGGAATGAGAGAAGCATGTGAATAACACTTTTGATTTTCTTTTCCTCTGTGTCTGTTAGGTGTTTAAGAGGGCATATATTCCTAGAACCCTGAATGAAGTAAAAAACTATGAAAGGGATATGGATATAATGATGAAATTGAAGGAAGAAAATATGGCCATGAATGCCCAACAAGACAATGTGAGTAGCTTGGTTTGTATATAACAAGCAAGTTTATAGAGGAAGCTACTGTCCCAAACCTGCCATCTTGAATGTTGGCTTCTAATCTTCTGAGATGGCTGATTCCCTTTGCATTAATAGGTCCTCTGCGCACATTGGATGTAAAGGGAATTCACTGGTATTTGTGAAAAATGGCACATTTGAGTCCAATAGACTATAGTTGCAGAAAATGGAAGATTTGTGTAAAGTCTGGGCTGTAAATGGTTATTACACTAGGTCCATTAACATACATATTTCAAGGTCTGGAACATTTCTTTCTGTGAAAAGGCCAGATAGTAAATATTTTAGACTTTGCAGGCAAAGAAGCAAAATTGAGGCTATTATGTAGGTCATTACAAAATAAGAAAAAGAAAAATTCCCCAAGTTTTTATTGAAGAAATTAAAAGCCCTTTAATAATAATTGATACAGCTTTTCATGATTCCTAATAGAGAAGAATGGAGTTATTTTGGGGAGAATACATTCCATTTAATTGAGAATCACAGTTAAGAGTTTTCTCTTATAAAATTGGTGGCACAGGTTCATTTATAAAAACCATCAGGCTGTGGGTGGGTTGTGGGCCAGAGTTTGCTAATGCCTGTGTGCTCGGGGGGCAAGAATAATACCTATGCTATAAACTTTCTGTGTTAACCAGGGGGTAAGTTTTAGGCACCTCTTAATAATCACAGAAGATTATTAGCCCATAGTGTTCTTTCATAATATTACAATGTGTGTTTGTCACTGCTTTATGTTGATTCTTCTTTTTGTCTTTTTGGTAATAAGATTCTGTACCAGACCGTTACAGGATTGAAGAAAGATCTGTCTGGAGTTCAGAAGGTATGAGAACTTGTGTTGATGTTCATTTACGTGAATACTCTTTTGAAGCCTATAAAACCTACTTTATACTAGAATTAAACTAACAATATTATTACTAGTATAGATATTTCCGAAGTTTTTGGGCATTTTCAGAAATGCCCGATTTGTGTTCACTTTTTTAGCCGTAAGACTGAAATACAGGAATTTGTGGTTTATTTCTGTCAGTTGTTCTGTTGTTCTTGCTGAGGCATTGATGCTTTTTATATCCTGGTCTTTATGAAATTATTAATGATAACCAGGTGTTTCTTGGTGTTTTTACAGTTAAAAAAAACAACAAGGGAATCTGGTCTCATATTGGTATAAAACCTGTTGCAGGGCGCCTGGGTGGCTCAGATGGTTAAGTGTCTGCCTTCGGATCAGGTCATGATCCCAGGGTCCTGGGATCGAGTCCCGCATCGGACTCCCTGCTCAGCGGGGAGCCTGCTTCTCCCTCTGCCTCTCTCTGTCTGTCTCTTATGAATAAATAAAATCTTTAAAAAAAAAAAAAAAACCTGTTGCAGAGCAGTCTCACAGGTTTAGCAGTTTTATAGTTCTGGCTTCCTGTAGTGTTTTTTCTTGTTTTGTTTTACATTTTTAGAATGGTGTGGATTAATTCTAACGTAAGCAAAAATAAAGGCAGTTCTTATTTATTTTAATGTTTTATTTTGTTTTTAAAGTAGGTTCCATGCGGGGTGTCTAAGTGGTTCAGTCACTGTCTCTCTCTCTCTCTCCTCCAAATAAATACATAAAATTAAAAAAAAATAATAATAAAGTCGGCTGCACACCCTGTGTGGAGCCCAACTTGGGACTTGAACTGACCTGAGATCAAAAGTCGGACATTTAACTGACTCAGCCACCTAGGCATCCCTATTTGGATGTTCTTAATTAAAGGCTTAAATGTGAAGGATCGTAGTTTGCTTTTTGAAATTTTACTGTGTCTTTGTTTTTCGAAGAATTGAATTAGGAAAACTCACATGTTCAGTATGTGTTACATATAGTACGTGTTATAGGGCAGTTGTGCCTTGAGTTCCAGCACATGAAGATTTTGTGAAAACTGGCTAGAAAACCTTTTTTACAATTGCCTTTTAAAGATATTTTTTCTTATAAAAAGAAAACCTCTTGTTTTTTATTTTTTAAAAGATTTTTTATTTATTAGTGAGTGAGAGAGAGAGAGCACGAGAGGGAGGAGGGTCAGAGGGAGAAGCAGATTCCTCACTGAGCGGGGAGCCTGATGCGGGACTAGATCCTGGGACTCCAGGATCGTGACCTGAGCCGAAGGCAGCCACTCAATCGACTGAGCCACCCAGGCACCCAAAACCTCTTGGTTTTTATTTTTTTGTTTTTATTTTATTTTTTTAAAGATTTCATTTATTTTTTTGAGAGAGAGAGAATGAGAGACAGAGAGCATGAGAAGGAGGAGGGTCAGAAGGAGAAGCAGACTCCCCGCTGAGCAGGGAGCCTGATGTGGGACTCGATCCCAGGACACCAGGATCATGCCCTGTGCCAAAGGCGGTCGCCTAACCAACTGAGCCACCCAGGTGCCCCCAAAACCTCTTGTTTTTAAACAATGCTTCATGCTGCTTTAAAAACTGCTAAACTTCAGCGGGGGGGGAAGCACCAATTTCTCTTGTTTAAATATTGTTTTCCCTCTTGATTGGACTAATAGTAAGTATTGCTTGACATTCAATTCATAGGAAAATAGCTGTGAAGTTATCCAAATCAATCTTTATTTTTTACTTCTATCTGTATTTCTCCTTCCAAATCCAGCTTGGTTCTGTTCGTGATCTGGGTCACCCAGTGAAGCCACAGTTCCTTCATTTGAGTGTGTTCTGGAGCCTCACTTGATGCCCTGCTTCCATGCTTCCTCCCTGATGTTGATTCTGTTGTTCTCAATGTTTCAGTACAGGATGTAGTTGTTCACCGTATACCTGCAAGGCTGAAAAATCTGAATTCTACCATTATCGCATTTAACAATAGGTGACTAAGTGGTTATAGAATAGCTTTTGTAATATTTTCAAGGTCCCTGCACTTCTAGAAAATCAGGCTAAGGAAAAGGCTTGTTCTGATTCAGAAGATGCTGGAAGCTCTGAGTGTTCTGACATAGACTCAGAAGAGCAGGGAGAACAGGCCTGCTCCAGGAAACCCACTGCTGACGTTGAAGTTGATAAAAAGGTGAGCCGAGAACTCAAATTCCCTTGTTCTTCAACATGGTAGCAAAGCCAGTTTCGTTTCTCATTTACTAGATTATGATGGCTGAAAAGATTATTGATCAGTAAGTACTTCTAGTTGTAGTGCTAGTTTCTAAGTGTGAACTTTGCCTTTGGAGGTCACATTGTGTAGAGATTGGGCTTCTGTTAGGAGCTCCCTGGGCACTGCCTAGAGAGAGGACACACTGAATTCATCGATTAGAAATGATTGTCATTCACTTGAAACACAATTGATGTTGGAGTTGTCCCATGGTGAAATACTGAAAGGCCATTTCATAGGGGATTTGCAACTCAGTCAGTGTTTCCAGAATCTAAAAGACTTATTCCACTCCTAGCCATCAGCATAAGAGACGAATGATACATGATTGCTGTGTAAATGTTACTGTTCATTCTTAGCTTAAGCCTTTAATCCTTACAATGTTCAGGGCCCTAAGACTTCTGAGAGACATACCCAAGCTAATGCACACATTTTCTGTCTTTGTCTACTGCAAATATTTTGTCTTTCCAACCTGTATTTCTGTTAGAATATGAAACTTGTGAAGAAAAGTAGTTGCAAACATTTAATAGTCCTCCCAGTTATTTCTGTTTGGCACTCTTCAAATTTCTATTAAGAAACCGTAAAGACAAATTTGGAACCAAATTGCACCACCACATCCTAATCATTTTCATCTTTTCCTGTTATACTCACTTTTGTCCTTTCACATATGTTTTCTTACTTAGTTGTAATAGTAAAATGAATACTTGGAATGAAATCTGCAGGTTCCTTTATTTTTGTTTTTGTTTTACAGGAAAGAAAAAAGATGGTCAAGGAAGCCCAGAGAGAGAAAAGAAAAAACAAAATTCCGAAGCATGTGAAAAAAAGGAAGGAGAAGACAACCAAGATGAAAAAGGGCAAATAGAACCAGAACTCGAGACATAGAGTAATCTTCCATCAGTCGCTTTTCCCGCCTGCGCGGTGAGCTGCGCCTGGAAGGGGTTCTCACGGCAGTGTTGTGAACATGGGCTCACGTGTGCTCACGTGTTCTTGTGTAATTATGTAACAAGCTCTAAACTCTCCCCGTCTAGATGCACTCATTGCCTCTGGGTGGTATTGACAGAGGATTTATTTAAACTACTATTTTAATGAAGAACTTTATACAGTTTTATTTTTATATATATTTTTTTCTCCTGCAATATGTTTTTCGAAGCATCATAAATGTTTAAATGTGACCAACATCCATAGTCTTTATGTAAGTGTAAAGGCACTTTGGACAGACTTGGGTAGATTGTTTTTGCTTTGCTCGTACATGCCAGAGACCCATCTGAAATCATTTGATCCTAGGGCTGCGGTTTCTGTGGAAGGGAGTTTCGTTTCTAAGAGAATTCATTTGGTGGTTGATTCAGTAATCATCTACTGCGACTGTTCTGTGTGCATTGCTGCTCATTTGGGATGCACTTACTCTTCATCTTTGTTACTCTTGAGTGAAGACATCGCAGTTTATAAGCTATTTCACATTCAGCTATTTGGCCTATTCTGTTCATTCATGGAATATTTGAGTGTGTTAGGTGCAAGGGATACAGCAGTAAACAAAACTAAAAAATTACCACGTTCAGGTACTTTACATTTTGAAAGCAAGACATTAAACTAATAAATAAAAATGTATCAGTAGGTGGTAAATTCTGTGGTGAGAAATAATGCAGAACAAAGAGAATGCCTGGGGAGGTGGGAGTTTGCCGTTGAAAAACAGGCCACACCGAGCAGCTACATTTGAGCAAATACTTGAAGAATGGGAGTCAGGTATGTATCAGGAGAGAAGAGTATTCCAGTCAAAGCAAACAGCAAGTGTGAAGGCCCTGAGGCAGAAGTGTGCCTGGAATGTTCCAGAAACAAGAGGCTCCCATGACCGAGAAAGAGATCACATGGTGCTAGGCTATTAGAGGATTTTGAGCAGAGGAATGATATGATCTGACTTGTGTTTTGGAGGGATCTCGCTCTCTGGCCTCCATAGAGACCTGAGTAGGAAGCGAGGGTGGGAGACCAGAGGGGCAGTTACTGTAGTAACCCACGTGGGAGCTGGTGATGGGTCTGTCTAGCATGGTGGCAGCAGACATGGAGAGAGTGGTGGGATTCTAGTTTAACACAGTGGCGTGAACTGGATGTGCTAAGGGAATATGTGAGGTGTATGACAAAGTGAGGGATGGCTTCAGGGTTTATGACCCAAGCAACTGGGACTGTTGCACTTGCCACTTCCCATGTTGGGAAGGAATGTGACTGGAGCAGGATTGGGGGTAAGCTTCCATTGCAACAAAGCACAAAAGTCAAAAGAAATGATAAATTTTTAATTTTTCTTAACCATATATTTTATATTGGAAATACCTGTTTTAGCCCTTGCATCAGAAAAAATTGCTGTAAATAAACTTAGTTTCCCTGAAACTGAGGCTTGAACCTGGTGGTTTGAGGGTTGGTGGGCTATTGCGGGGCTGGGGGGTGGCGGTCAGCTGAGCTTTTAAAATACTAGGTTGCATGTATTATGTTCATACTCTCCTCTCCTCCTGACTTTAAAAAGTTCCAAATGCAAAATGTGATTTCAATGAAATACAACAGTAGCCCCTCTAAAATATTCTACAGTTAGCCAGAGAGAAACAGAAACAGATTTAGCAATCCTGTACACGTTTGGGGATTTTATCTTCAGGATCTTCCCTTTCTCATACGTGTTTGGTCTTACTCTCGCACAAGGTATGTTTAGGGGGTCAAGCTCCTCAGTGCTGTCTTTTGCTGAATCTAATGCAATTACAAAGTCTGGAATCAATTTCTCTTGGGCAGAAGTCATGTCAGTAAGATGATAACAGGGACAATACATTCTCATTGGCATTGCTGCCGGGAGGAAGTGGCTTGTAAGATGCCAAAATTTGGGACTGTCGGGGGATTTTAATTTGAGGAGCATTCTTCTGGTAACTGTCTTGCTGATAGGCCGTCTCCTTGTTCGGATTCTGGGCTGCACGCCGTACCGACTCGTAACTTGCTTATATTGCTCGCAAACTTGTCTGAAACCATATTTCCCCACTCCTGTCTTTCTCACCGGAAGGCTTGGAAGAAGGAGCCCTGTTCTTAGGCAAACTTAGATGACTATTTGCTGACTTTGGTTGCCGTTGAATTTTGAGTGTTGACAGGTTTGAAGTGCCCATGGATTCACTATTGGTTGTACAGTTACTTTCCATTTGGAGAGGTGGGGTTTGGGTTTTGACTTGAAGGCTGAGATATAACTGTCCCTAGATGTATCTGATTTCCTGTCCTATTTTGTTGATATTTAATCCTTCCGAATAATGTAAGGATTTCTGTTTACTGTGAGAAGTTGGGATCCTTTCTTTGAAGCACAAAATTAGAGCTGTCTTCTGTGCTGCTGTAGTTGTCCTTCTTCCTTTGATAAAGCAGTTTGGGAACAGAACTTCCACCGGCCCAGGTGCCCCAGCGTTTGAGCCTGGCCTTGCAGCGAAGAGACACGGACCAAATGGGAACCGGCGTTCTAGGCTGGCGTCAGGTTTTCTTCAGCTTTATCTCTGCTTGATGAAGATGGACTCAAGAGGTTGGAAAACTCTATGGCTTGGTACTAAGTTGTTTGAGACCATCTCTTCTTTTCGTGAATGTTCTACTGAATTCGGTGCAAGTGGCTTGCTGTTTCTTGGTAAGAGGCCCATCCTATTTTGTGGCTGTGATTTCATTAATCTTTTGGCTCAGAAAATGAAGAGTTGGAAAAAAAAATTCTTCTAGAAGCTGGTAAAAGTTCAGTTTAGGGATAACTCAAATGTCATGGGCTCTAAGTGAGGACATTAAAATCCTTTCATTTTCAAAAAGCTTGACAGGTTTTCTATTTTTAGTTGTACACATAGTAAGTAGAGACCATGCCCATTCAGAGCTCTACCTTGATTTCTGGGGGTTACTTTTTGATGACGAAAGAGTTGCACGGATCAGCAGCTCCTCAAAGTTTAGTTTCCTGGAAAGGTGTTTTGTGACCACATCAGATGGACACGGTTTACAACCATGGGTAATCATAAAGCAAGAGCTCTTTATGTTTTGTCTCTCGAATTGGATTAAGTTATCACACTCCCTCCATTTTGGTAGCAGTTTTTAACTTGCATAGCCTTTGAGTTTGTGTTGCCTGCCTTCGGCTTAGGTCGTGATCCCAGGGTCCCCCTGCTCAGCGGGGAGCCTGCTGCTCCCTCTGCTTGTGTGCTCTCTCTCTCTGACAAATAAATAAATAAAATCTTTAAAAAAAAAAAACTGTCCCGGGGAAATGGTAGTACAGGGTATCAAATCATTTAAGCTAGTTTCCAAGGGAGAAGATGCCTTTCTTGCATCTGTGTCCTCCAGAGATCTCAGTCCCAGTTGACAGTGTTGTGGAAACCTTTGGACTTGAATTTTGGAGAACCAAAACTTGAATTGGTGGAATTCTTGGCTGGTTTTGGCTTTCCTTCATTTTCTGTATCACTCCACATCCTGCTTTGAGTGTTGGCAGGCCATGATTATGATGTCATATCATATCTGTCCTACAGCTAGACTAATCACACAGCCATAAAATCCTTGTCCTCAGGTTTTTTTTTTTTCCCCAGAATAGTAAGAGGGTCATTTAATGTGTGAGCAGAGCTATCTCTAGCTCTCTAGAGAGGTTTCCATGTCTCAGTGCTACTTGATAGTTTTGTTTAAAGGCTGATCAACTTCATCGTCTTTGGGTGAAATTTTAGCCTTTACAAATCCTGTAGGTGAACGTCATGGGGTTCTAGATTAGTCAGTGAAAAAGTGGTAGGTCCTTGGTGGGGCCAAAAAATTGTTGGAGTCAGGATGCTGGAGTGCAGAAGCTGGAAAGACAGAGGAGGTCAGAGAATGGGATATTTAAGGTCATGTTCTTGGAGGGTTGCCCTTGGTGTAATATCTGAGGTGCAGCCATGGGTGTGAGGGGCCACGGGAAGGGAGCAGACAAAAGCACTGAAGGCTGGAAGGTCAAGTAGCTGAGACCAGGGCTTGGCAGGGCCATCTGTGTTAGGACAGGCCTCGTTTTAGGGTGTCAGTAAGGGCCCTGCTTGAATCTTCAGGGAGAGAAGGAAAGTGGGCCAGGGAGGGGCTGGCATCGAAGCCTGCCACCTGGATGGGAAGTGAGCGGTGTCCGAGGACATGGGGTTAATGGGGGCAGGGCAAGCAGTGCCCTCAGGAGAGCCGGGGTTTAAATGGGCTAAGGAAAAGGGGACCCTCAGAGGAGATGCCGAGGACACAAGGCTTTTTGCTGGTGTCTGACCAGGGGTTCCGAAAGGCCCTGCGGGAATGTTTCAGGACTTAGAAAGGTGGGAAGGGGTCTGTTTGAGCTCAGGTGCAGGCCCCTTGGTGGCGTTGGTGGCTTCAGTTCTCAGAACCTGGTGCCATTAAGTAGGCAAATGCCATGACTGCGGTGGGGATGGTAGCAGTACCTACCTCACAGAGTTCATGTGAAGGATGCTGAGGAGAGCGGCAGGCAGCTTGGTGAGGCGGGTGCCCACTGCTCAGCCCCTGAAAGGGGACAGGCAGGCACGTGGGTGCTTCTGGTGTGGTGCAGGGGGAAGCACACACAACCACCTGTGAACCACCTTGCCTCCTGCACAAGCCACCGAACCCAAATGTAGGTAGCCTCCAGATGTGATCAGCAGTGACAGGAATACACCGCTCACAGGGACGGGATAGTTGAGGCGGGGAGGAATCGGTCAGCCGAATCCGAGTCAGAAGTTCGGTTAGGGAAAAAGGAAGAGCTGTCGCAAACCGTGAAAGCAGTCTAAGAGACACGTGTCCCAATGCTGGGGACTTCGTTTGGATCCCAATTAGTCCAAACCAGTTGTAAAAAGATGGACTTTTTGGGATGCCTGGGTGGCTCAGTTGGTTAAGCATCTGCCTTTGGCTCAGGTCATGATCCCAGAGTCCTGGGATCGAGTCCCGTGTCAGGCTCCTTGCTCATCGGGGAATCTGCCTCTCCCTCTGCCTCTCTCTTCTATCTCTGGTGAATGAATGGATGAATGAATGAATGAATGGATAAATAAATAAATAAAATTTTTTAAAAAATGGATTTTTTTTAGACAAACAAAAAAATTTAAAATGGAGTAGATATTAGATGATAGGAGGGAATTGTAATTTTATTGGATATGATAGTGGTATTGTTCCATTTTAAAAATTGTGGTCCATATGGACTAAAGTCTTTATGCATCTAACAAATAGATGTCTGGGATTGCTTGAAAATACTCCATCTTTATCCCCATCCTTACAGTAGATGAAACAAGATCAGCAGAACATTAATAATTACCAAAGCTGAGTAATGGGTGTATATGGATTCATTGTATTATATTTAGATGTATAAAAGTTCCCATAAGAAAAAGCATTTTTTTTTTAATGAGTTAAAATATGTCACAAACAGTGTTTGTCACATAGTAGTAGTGTCTATATTTGTCTTACTATTTTTAAGTAACCTTTTTTTTTTTGCCTAGGCATCAAGGTTCAGTCATGTGGGCCAAAAAGGTGGGTAGGTCTAGGCAGAACTGTAATGCCTACTGGTGCTGGCCTCGCTTGGTGTCACTTGAAATGACCTTTTGGCTCCGAAATTCAGATGCTATTAGTAGGATGCAGTTAGAGAACCTGTATATTGAACAAAGGCTGGTGGAAGTTTTAGTTCTGCCAAACCCGATTCTTGTTGTAAAATATGATGCCATCTTCTGAGTGCCCTGTCCTAACCCGTCTGTTTGGAATTGCGATCTGCCCCCTTCCCTCTGGCCCCTACATACCTGTACTACCTTGACTCTATATTGTTTTTCTAGAGCTCCTCTAACTAACTTACGTATTGAATTTACTTATGTATGTATCGTGTCTTCGCTCCCAAACTCTGACTAGAATGTAAGCTTCATGAGGACAAGGATTTTTACCTTTGTTCAGTTTTTTTATTCCAGCACCTAACATGCTGTCTGAAAGAGAGTAAATAATAAATATATGTGATTAATAGGTTGTGTTTCTTAAAAAAAAAAAATGAGGGTATTACATCAATTCGCACCCCTCATGTTCATAACAGTGAAAAGTAGGAGTTGATGTGGACTCATCTGTACTCTCTCTAGCCCTCCCCTGACCAATGGCGTCCATTTTAAGGTGGCTGACCTGAGCTTTGTGTGTAGGCCACATCACTGCCCCCGCAGCACTCAAGCCAATGGAACTGATGGGTTTTAAACTAGATTGTTATTTTGATTTTGACCATGTGAGACCATTTGACCATTTTCCAAAGTGCTCAATTCCAAATCACCACAATGTATGACAGTGGGAGTCTTTGAAACTAAGGCTTAGGATTCACACAGTTTGCCATCTTTTCCCAAATATAGACTTAGATTTTTTAAGATAAATTTATCTTATTTATATTTGTGAGAGAGAGCGAGAGAGAACATGCAGGAGTGGTGGGGAGGGGCAGAGGGAGCAGCAGACTCCCCACTGAACAGGGGACTTGATGCGGGACTCAATGCAGGACTCGATCCCAGGACCCCAGGATCATGACCTGAGCTGAAGGCAGATGCTTAACTGACTGAGCCACCCAAGTGCTCGATAAATTTATCTTAAAAGGTGGTTCTGAGTGTAAACAAGACCCCTGCTTACTTGAGAGGCTGACAAACTTCCACGGTGAAGCACCATCCTGATCCTTTTCTTCAAAACGGCATAAAACAGTATGGTAGCCACAGGACATTGGCATGCTTGTTAACTACGTATTTGGTCTTGCCCAGCCTGGTTTATCATTAAATGATACCAGTGTTGGCAGTAGTATTGGGAGCTTGTCTCCTGTTGCCCCACCATGTAAACATCGTCAAGGCTTGCTCGAGGGGAACCCTCTCTTGGCTGGGGAAAGGGTGAGTCACTTTCCTTTGGGGGGAAATTTTTCATCTGTAGATTCAAAGAGTCAGACCAGGTAGTCATAAGATTTCTTCTTCACAATTCCATTATTTTAAAAAGTGTAGCAGATCAGTGATTGAGAAAAGACCTTTCAAAGCCAAGGGACCAGACTAGAATGACATCTCTTAAAAGAGTTTGTTTATTAAAGATACAATCAATGGTTAAGGTGCTAGTTACCACAAGGCAAGTTTGCTCTTTATATGAATCATAAGGCATCTCTTTCTTACTGTGTGCCATTTTAATTTCATGATCGGAATTCTGTTCATTGTCCCTGCAATAACGTTCGCTCCTCTAGAGGGAGGTGTGCTCTTGAATTCTGATTATTAACTCATCCTGTAAGTTGCATGAATGGCCGTTAGGCTGATGATTGCCAGAACTTTCAGACTGTACAGGATGCACAGGATTAGTCAACTTTATGTTCCCCTTCAAGAAGGATTAGATGAACCGATCTTGTTGATAGCCGGTGCATGTTTGGTGGCTGAGTTTTGAATCAGTCCTCTTCAAGAACTGAGGAAATAGCTCCTCGGTAACATTTTTCCAGAAGTTGTAGCTCCTTTAATCAGGAGTTGCTTTACTTTTAAAACAGCACACATGCTTCAAGAAAAGAGTAACAGTCACACAAAAACAGACTCCTGAAGAGCCTTAGACTGGGAGTCTGGCATGCTATGAACTTGCTAGAGACTCACTTTCTCCTTCTGGGCCTCAGCTTTCCTATCTATAAAATGAAGATATTGGAGTGATGAGGACTCTGAGCTCTAGAGCTGCCGTCTGCGGTCACCACTGGCCACGTATGACTGTTGGGCCCTTGCAGTGTGGCTGGGCGGGATTGTAAGTGCAAAATACACACTGAATCTTGAAGACTAGGTATAAAAAAAAAAGAATGTAAAGTAACCTGGTAACTTATTAATATTGATTACACGTTGAAATGCTAATATTTTGCATGCAGTAGCCCCCTGGCCCCACACCCGTGGTTCCGGTCACCCGCGGTCAACCGTGGTCCAGAAGCAGATGATCCTCCTTTTCCGACACATCCTCAGAAAGTCAGTAGTAGCTTAGCACTGGGTCACAGTGCCTGAGTCATTCACCTTCCTTCCTCCCCTCATGTGACATTTTATCATCAAACGTTATCCCAATAAGAAGGGGAATACAGTACGGTAAGATATTTTGAGAGAGAGAGAGAAACCACATTCACATAACTTCTTTTACAGCATGTTATCATTGTTCTATATTATTATTGTTAATCTCTTAATGTATCTAATTTATAAAATTAAACTATCATATGCATGTGTGTATAGGAAAAAAGGAATACCTACAGAGTTCGGTACTATCCATGGTTTCAGGCATCCACTGGGGGTCTTGGAATGTCTTCCCCGTGGATGCAGCGTGGGGGGACTATAGTATATTGGGTTGAAGAAAATATATTAAAATTAATTTCACCTATATTTTGTGGGGTAGAAAATTTTAAATTGTGGATGTGAATATGTGGTGTGTAGGACAGAACAACCTACAAGGGAAGGAATGATCAAGGGACTCCCCCAAATCTGTCAAAATCAATCTTCTAGAAGATATTTTTAAAATTCCATATTCAGGAATATTTATTATTTCTGAAGAAAAAATTGCCATTCCATTTGGTTTAAATATAGATAATATATATAATGCGTGAGGGGAAAATGGGACTTCCTAATAAATGAATAATACAAGGAGGAGTTAAATACTTGTTTTTTTCCTCACAGTATTTTGTTAGCTTGTTAGTTTGCGCCTCAAACTTTCCTACTGCAGGTACTCATTGGGACAGAAGAACATGGCCCCAAGCTGCTTTCCACGCCACTGCCTGGCATGACATTTTCAAATCTCTTGTTTTAGCTTAAAAAAAAAAAATCCGTGTGAATTTTGTATTCTACTTCATACTAAATTCCTGCTAAAAACTTTTTTGAAAGTTTTAAATGATAATCAAGTAATATTAATGCTCCAAGAGGTCATTCCCCGTATTTAACTTGAGGTTCCCTTGTGGACCATCATAACTGTATTTTGAAGTCTGTTGCTAGTGAGGACAGTGTGGCAGGATCTTTGCTTGAAAACTGTAGGATAATAGTATCCATTATATTGCAGTAAGGGTTAAATGAGATAAAATGCAGATAAGTTCTTTAGCACACCATAAACGTTTATTAAGAAAAAATAAGTATTGGTTACTTTTCTCATTTGATTCCTAAAAGGTGCACATTCCACGTAAAATGAAGGATTAGAGGCTAAAGGATTTTTCTTGGAAAATGGAAGCCATATTAGGAGAGCATACATGAAGTTGTAGCACTGTATCAAGACTCCTCATGTGTAGGATACCTGCTTCATTCTTAGTTTTGTTCATCTTTTGCAGGTGTTGGTAGATGGCCACGTGCTATAACTGAGAAAGTCCCAGATTTGAATTAAGAAACTGAGTTCTAGTCTAGGACCTAATATTCCTCCTTATTTTATTTAGAATTTATACCCCATCTATGAAGAATTTCGAAATGGTTTCAGTCAGTAAGGAGCATATGCAGTACTATCAATAAAAAGAGCAAAGCCATTTGGAGGAAGGGAGAAGTTACTACAGCAAAAACCTATGGGCAGATAGATACCTGTTGCCTAGCTGAATCTCCCCAGCTGTTGGGCAAAGGATCAGCGAGCTTGGGGAAGTCATTTGACATAAGCTCTTGTCTTCTTCAGCTCCAGAATGAGGAGCACCAGGTGGACCAGGTAAACCAGGTGATTGCTACGGCTCTTGCATTCCTAAGCATAGCACTTGCAAAGTCAGACAAATTCTGACGGGTTCAAACACCACCCCCGGTGTTTATCAGTGGGATGAACAAACTGAACTTTTCTGAACTCGTTCTTTCATCTGAAATGAAGATAGTAAGAAAATCAAAAGTGGTGTCAGGGAAATTCCAACGCCTGACTCTTAGGAAGTGATTGCTGCTGGTTTCCCGGAAGAATTCTAGGAAGTTCGAATGCAAGTTGACTTGCGGTGCCACAGTTTTGCTCTGGTACCCTCTTCCAAAATGAATATTTTACTTTACGAACAGGATAATTTGAAACTTCAAAACCAAGAACTCCAGAGCCAGTGGTCATGGAGTCCATGGCACAGCCCTCAAAGGAAGGGGGATCGCCGAGGAAATGACCTTCACCAGCACTGCTTCTGGGAATGTGTTTTTAAGAGCAGATGCAGGATTTTAGTTCAGTTGAGGTGGAGGGCAGTGGAATGCCCGAAGGGGTGTGGTGGGAAGTGAGAAATGTGCAGAGCAGGGAGGGTGGAGAAGTGCAAAAGCCAAACTTACTGACTTCACAGTTTTACTTGGGGTCGGCCCTGACCTCCTTTAAAACAGGGGGAGGAGTCGGTTAATTAACTTTCGGGACCTGCTCATCCTGTTAGGAAACCACTCCCTCTGTGGGGCATGGGATCCCAGCATGTGCCGCTGCTGGGCTAAGGCGGAGCTGCTTCGGGAAGCTTGTGCCCACACCTAGCACCTGGCTAGGAGAAGCTGGCCTTCCCAGTGGGGTGAAGGAGCCCCTGCTCATCCCAGAGGGTGGGCTGTAGGGCTGAGGCTGTGAAATCAGCCGAGCAGTGGACGTCACTCCACCTTGGGAACCCAGAGCCCCTCTGGGCATGCGGGCCAGGTTGTAATGAGGATTCTCCAGTAGAGCTGTGGGTTGGGTTCTTTTGGTTGGTTTTCGTTTTTGCTTTTTGGCTGTTCAGTTTGGGTCATGGCCGCTTTATGGCACATCTAGTTACTCAGCTTAGTGGATGGTGGAAAGCCACCTTCCATCCTGCTTCTCCAGTTTAGGAGCGAGTAGACGTTATGGGTGCTGCCTTACATTTAGACTGTGCCTGCCGGGGAAGAAAGCGTCCTCACCAAAAAAGCGGTGAGCAGTCCTGAGCATTGGCTGGATTCTCCTAGCAGCTCTGAGAGATACTTTAGACCTTGGGGAGTGGGTCTGAGTCCCTGGGATGGGCCAGAGTGGGCTTAAATGTTCCTCCTGCCTCTGAAGTCCGAGGATGGGCCACAAAGAGCAGATTCTCTGGGGACAGCGCTCCAGAGTGAAGCAGTTTCTAAAGGCGTCAGAGATGGGAATCGAGCTCTCTGACCAGATAGGCTTGCTGCAGACAAGGCGGTCTGGAGGAAGAGGGGGAAAAAAAATCCAACAATCTTAACAATGGGAAAACATTTTTTTTTTTAAATTTTATTTATTTATTTGAGAATGAGAGAGAGCACATGAGAGGGGGGAGGGTCAGAGGGAGAAGCAGACCCCCTGCCGAGCAGAGAGCCCAATGCGGGACTCGATCCAGAGACTCCAGGATCATGACCTGAGCCGAAGGCAGTTGCTTAACCGACTGAGCCACCCAGGCGCCCTGGGAAAACATTTTTGTAACAGAAAGAGCAAGTCCCTACAAGAAGGCGAATGCAGAAAAAATCTCTGAATGGTTGTATTTCGGGTTTGAGATTTCAGCTCCTTCTATCTTCAAGCCCAAGGGAGGCCCCGCCCAGCCTCAGCAGACCGGGTGGTCCAGCCGCCTCCCCAGCAGCCCTGGGCACCTCACGGTGGGCGATGTGCCAGCCAGTATCAGTGGCCCAGCAAGCGCAGGACTCTGTTTTCCAGAACCATGTGTTCCGGGGTGGGGTGGGGTGGGGTGGGGGAGATCAGAGTAGATGTATCCGGGGCCCTTCGGAGGCTGCAGCTGGAGGCTGGGCGTGGGTGGGGCCGGCGGCGCTGCCCGGCTGCGTGCTGCCATCACGTTGAGGCGGTGCGTGCACGCTGTGCACGACAGAGACCCACGTGTCCCCAGACGACAAAAGACGGTGCATGTGAACGGGTGGTGCGGGATCCCTCTGGCCTCCGCGCCCAGCCAGTGCTCGTGGACGTGCATGGGAGGGGAGAGAGCAGCCAGAGGCCAGCGGTCTTGGCTTTGGTGGTCTGGCCTCTCCAGCCCCACTTGGTGTTCGGGCTCCCCTCCATCAGGTCACCTCCTTGAAGCAGGCCAGGAAGGTCCAGAGGTCCAGGCCCTTGAGGGAGCCTTGAAGCACCAGCTGGCCATGGCGCTTGTCCCCAGCTCAGGGGAGGCCTGTCACAGAGTCTGTGCCCTGGCTGTGGAAACGGGGTCCACTTTCCACTGGCCTGTTGGAATCTTCTTGAAGGGGCTTGAGATGCTCTCTGTCACTCATAATTCCAGGAAGGCCAGGGGAAAGTGGGAAGTTGTAGATGTGATTGCCAGCACTCTGCTCTAGTTCTGAGGGCAACCTGCCCCGCGGCTGGTTCCCTCACTCCCTGACAAGCCTCTTAGCCACCCCGAGTCTGTTCTGGGTTTTGTGGTGGTGGGTTTTTTTGAAGTAGAAAATGTGGACAGCAGAATGAAATGCCATCCAGAGCCTTCCTCGGGCCCTGGTTTATGTATCTCTCATGTTGCATTCTTTTTTTTTAAAGATTTTTTTTTTTATTTATTTGACAGCGAGAGAGGGAACACAAGCAGCGGGAGTGGGAGAGGGAGAAGCAGGCTTCCCGTGGAAGAGGGAACCCGATGTGGGACTCGATCCCAGGACCCTGGGATCACGACCTGAGCTGAAGGCAGACGCTTAACGACTGAGCCACCCAGGTGCCCCTCTCATGTTGCATTCTTAGGCTTTGGCTGCATGAAGTGTGCTCTGAGGTCTCAAGGGAGGTTTGAGAGCTTGGAGTCCATTTTTACCACCAACATACACTTGCATACTTTAGATTTATTTTTCCAACACCCATTGCCCCACCAAAAAATAAAATAAAAACAAATCCCCTTGCAAACAAATAGAAAGTTAGTGAAAATCAACAGTAGCGGTATTATTCATTTGCTCATTTTGTGTGTGTGTGTGTTTCTGAATTGAATATCTTTTTTTTTTTTTTGGTCAGGAAGAGAGACAAGACAGAGAGAGCACAAGCAGGGGGAGCGGCAGGCAGAGGGAGAAGCAGGGAAGGAGCCCGATGGGGGACTCGATCCCAGGACCCCGGGATCATGACCTGAGCCAAAGGCAGACGCTTAACTGACTGAGCCACCCAGGCGCCCCTGAATTGAATATCATTCTAAGCCTACAGATGATATGCTATTGGGGGATAGACCAGGGTTATACTTCTCCTGCCCTTGATGTTACTGTTTCCTTATGGACTAAAACACACACATGCGCGCGCATGTCTGCTTTTACGCAGAATAATTAGGAAATAATGCAAGACGTTTTAAGTGCCAAATTGTGCGGCACAGGCAATGTATGGTATAGCTGTACAAAGTGGGGAGCAAACTGGCTGGGTGGGGCTGGAGCTAGATCAAGGGATGGGTTTGTTTGGTTGGGAGTAGGAGGGTGAAAAGCTAAGCTACGTGGTAAAGAGCCATCCTTCAAAGGTACTCCGGTAGGAAAGGGTCAATTAGTGTGCTTTCGGTTGCAAGTAAC